TTAAATTTTCTTCTATTTATCTCTCTTTAACCTGCATCTTCATTACTTATGTGTTACTATTTGTGTTACTCATTCTCTTACTTTATCTCCCCTAGGCCGTTACTATCCTTCAATCTCAACATTAGAAGTTCATTTTATTCATTGTTAATAACCTATTATAACACCCAAAAATGATAGCGGAAAGAATGAATAGTAAAACTTCAATCTTAATTTTATTAACTAACCTATCCTCTTATTTTTTTTGAGAAAAGACTCCTGACCCTCAGTTTCCTTATCTCTAAATATGGGGATAATAACTGGCTTACCCATTGCCATTTGAATGTTGTTCAGATGCAACAATGTAATGTATATGAGCATTAGAAAAACATTAGTAAGACATTATAGGGATCACTCAAAGAATGTGACTAGGTTGCTAAAAGTTGCTGAAAATAGAGCCTAACTCTGGAGAGAACTTTTCAGGGAAATTAAAAAGGAAAGGAAACTTAAAATTTGCATTATTTTACAAAGTGAAGATAATCTAATAATGGAAAAATTATTTGCGTGGAAAGCAAAGCAGGAAGTTGAGGTGCTGGGTTCAAAGTCTTTGTTAAGTATTGGCCCTACAGAGCTGGATTATATGCTGAAGTGGAAACAGCTTAGGAAGGACCATCTCTAGGGGGATATTTTTTCACTTTGCATTTCAGCTTCATAGTTAATATCTTCTTCTTGCAGAACCTGGATGAGTTCAGTGTGAAGGAGTACTGGGTGGGATTATGAGGCAGCAGAAACACTTGATCCTTGAGTCCTTGGGCATGAATCATTGAAATACAAATAGGTTGTATTGTAAAGTACCAAAAGGCATTATAATTGAAAATTAGGTGACTTACCAATGGTTTTTTGAGAGAGCTCTAAAAAAAAAAAAAAAAAAGGAGAAAGAGAGAAATCAGTAGCTATATGTATTTTTAATATATACTTTTTATTTATATACTTTCATTTATATAATTCTGCCAGTAGGAATCTGCATCACTAATCTCAAGTTCAGCTGCAGTTGAGTAGTAGAAATGACTTTCTTGCTATCACAAACTAGTACATATCAGGGCCTCATCTAAACAGCTCTTGTGTGATGCTGAGAAGCCATTGGAAATCTACAAGGGTTCATCCTCCACTTTGTAGTTTCTGTTTATTGGTGATGTGTACATTCACAGTTATTCATGACTTACTGAAATGCTAGGTAGAAGACAAATAAGAGGTTGACGAAAATGTGAACTCCAAACCCTTGAAATCCCAACATGGAAACCAGGTAGTGATCCCTAAGATACTGAAGGAAAGAAAAATGCTCACTGGATAATCAGATGGGAAACTTACTGATAGGTCCTGTAGCTCTAGCTGTGAGAGAGAGAGAGAAAAAAAGAAAAAGTCATCAGTATACTTCACCACTGGGAAGGAAATCCTCATTTCCCAGTAGCCGCTCTAGGGAGTATCATAGATAGAAACTCTGGGAAGATCAAGAGTTGCTTGCATGGCGAGCCTCAGGCAGGCTCCCTGATGCACAGCATAAGGGACCAACAGGAAAAGAGGCCTCCTCCTGCTTTCAGTGAGGGTTGAAACTCTTCAGAGGGTTGGGAAAGACTCACTCCATATTAATCTGTTATGCTTCTATTTTTCTTCTTACATTTTCTTGCCCCTTGCCCTCAATTTCCTTAGAGAAATGGTTTATTTGAAAAGCGTACCTTCTGTGGCTGATGGATCATTGTGACTATTACTAAGAGGCTGTTTTGGTTTACGTTTCTAAACATTAGCCTGTGAGATTTCTTAATACTTCATGCATGGCCTCTTTGCAAACTATGTAATAGGAATGCTAGAGGAGTTGACAAAGACAGTGTTAAGAAAGCACGTCACCCCTAAACCTCAGTATCACACAATATACCCATTAGCAAACCTGCACATATACTCTCTGAATCTAAAATAAAAGTTGAAATTATTTTTAAAAATGCAGGGCAGATCAGGACCCAGGATCTTGTAGATCAGACATCAAAGGGACCAGAGTGGAAAAACAAACTGGATACTTACGAATAGGGGCTGTGAATTGCACTGAAATACAAAAGGGAGGAAAGCACGGTTTGACAGAATTTTCATTTTACGAGTATTGTTTCTAAAGAAACTATGAAGTAATTCAACCAGAGGGAGAACTACTGTGGGGCTGCAGATAATCTTAGCCTGGCAGCCCCATAACCCTCCAACCAGATTACATCATTCAGCATCCATCTTAAATGAGAAATTTAAGTCATGAAAAAATAATAAATATAAATAATAATAAAATAAAATTTTAAGTATGAATTATTTGACTTTGCCTTGTCCTAAACTCAGTGACAATTCAGGACATTGTGTCTGATGTCTCGGGCATCAGAAGGTGTCAGAAGATTTGAATATAATTAAGAAGTATGAGTGAGAAATCCTGCAGGGGTGGAAATGGCAACAGTTAGGATGTGGAGAGGACCCCATAACCCACAGAAGGCCAAAGAACGTCAGAGGAAACAGAAAAGGAACCACTTATAGGTCCGATAGTTGCAGCTAAAATATGGGAAAAACCAAATAGAACTAATGAGAAAGTACTGTTTGCATTAAAATTCTTTCTGGGAAAACATCACAAATATAGACACCAGGAGCAAAATTTCCACTTCAATGAAGGAACAAGTAAAGTTTATAAATGCTTCCTTCTTCACCTGGGAGGACCCGGTTACTGCTGGGATGTGATCTGCCAGCTGGAGCTGCAGGATGCACGTTTAGTCAGCTAGGGCTCCTTTCCCTTTCCTGGCAGGTGTCCTGCTTGTATCTCAGAGATTACACAGGCCATTGCCTGTCTTTCAGCTGGCTAATTTAAACTTGTTTAGCTAGAATCTATAGCCTCATCTTCTGAAGGAGACAGTGGGAATTCCTGTCTCTATGGTGATTTTGACCCTTATTCAACAGAGTAACTTGGCCTGTCATATATTAATATAAGAGGGAATAGAAACTGCTAGGTAGACTTAAGACATTTATAGGTATGAGTAGTGGGCAAAAGAATTGAGGCACTAGACCCACACACTTGTTAATAATGCAGTAACAGTCTTTTTCTTTAGGACCACTCCCCCACCCCCCAACACACACACACCACACACACACACCTCTATACCTCATAGACTGTAAGTGATCCTCTCACCTTGGCCTCTCCAAGTGTTGGGATTACACGTATAAGCCACTGTGCCTGGCCTAGTATGCGCTTTTATGATTCCCACCCAGTATCTGCTCTCAAAGTTTGACTTGATTATTTTAATAATATTTCATTTGTATAAATACTCCAAGAGGAGTAGACACAGGGTGTAATAAACTGTGAGCTTTAATTCTCAAATCATTTTTTTAGTCCTGCCTCTGGGGCTCAAGCTCTGAACATCCCCAAGAAGGAAGGATGGAAATGTGTTAGGAAGTGAATTAAACCCTGATGAGTTTCATCTTTCTTGTCTTTGGCTTTAGGGTGACACTTAGCGTGGGGAATCTGCAGGGATGGGAAAGCTGGTTAAACTTGGACCAAGTGCTCTCATCTTTTTATTTCCCTTCTTAGGGCAGAGAATTAACATCCTGTAGAGCCATGGTTCTTAAACTTTGATATGCACACAGATCACCTGGGGATCTTGTTAAAATGCAAAGTCTGATTTAGTAGGTCAGGGGTGACCAATAGCCTGAGATTCTGCATCTCTAAAACTCCAAGGTGATGTTGATCTTTGGACTCACTTTAAGCATCAAGGCCATAAAGGGCAGGTAAAAAACTCAGATCAAATAAAAGTCATTGTTTCCATTTACCATTTTTTTTTTCTTTCTAAATCAACTTCCTCTCACGTATCCTTTACTCTCTCTTCCCAACCAGTGCTTCTTTCAGAGATGTATGCTATAATTTCATTTAAAATTTTATCTGGATACTTCTTTCAGATTTATTCTTTGTTCATAGCGGGGGATATACATCCCCCACAAACATCAGTGACAGTCTGAGGACCCTTGGTCGGTGAGCTGGGACTCACTGCATGTCACTGAAGTTTTCTTGGTGGGTGTTAAGTGGAATGGCCACCATCAAGCCTCTTTCTTTGAGTGTTACTGGGTTTTCTCACAGGGGAATCTTTCTTCCTTTCACTTGACCATTTTTTGTTCTCTTCCCTTTGTTGTTGAATCTTAAGATTTTGGAAAAGTTAAAGGTAATAGCACTTTCTTACAGAGGCACCCCAGTTTATTAAGATAGGAATAGGGAGTAAAGAAGGGGAAAAGAATAGACAATTTGTGAAGGAAATAAAAAAATCTAGGAATATGAATGTCTTACATAGTTTAACAGCATAGTAAAGTAAAGCACATGATAATTAAAGGGCAGAAAAAGAACTTACTAACAGGTCCTGCAGTTCTGGCTAAAATACAAACAAAAATGGTGAGTTTGGAGCGAGCACAACTCAAGGATGTTTATCTCAGGGAGTTTCAGATCAAGCATTTACTACATATTTGATTTACATGGAAAGGCAGCAAAATGATAGTAGGCATTTTCCTTTTTCCCTTAAGAGACTGTTAAAATCAGTTATTTTTCTTATTCTTACTTTTTACTATCTTCCTGCTCAAATCCTTCCAAAAGTTATAGACAACTTTCCCCGGCCCCAGAATCTTTTTCACATTTTATTGATTATTCTAGTTTGTATTATCAGAGTTTCCATCTTGCCAACTAAAAAAAGTAATCAGCCTCTTAGAGAATCTTGAAATCAGCCTCACATTCCTCACACTGGTAAAAGAAAGAGGGAGCAGTAAAATTGAACGTTTTTCTCCTTTTCTCCATCTTTATGTGCCTTCTCCCCCGCCCCCACCCCATTCCTCTAGTAGCAGGCACATTGTAGAAGAAAAAAAATCATTATACATGCTATGCATGTATCAAAATATCACATGTATCCCATAAATTTGTACAATTATTATGTGTCAGTAAAAAATAGACTGAGTTGTAAATATGGCAAACTTACACAGAGGTTCTTCAGTTCCTTTTATACACTGAATACTACCTATAATAAACATGGAAAAGTATAATATTACTTAGATTTAGACCTCCAGAGGGCACAGAGATAGACGATCCCATTCCCTTCTCCCCCTCCCCAAGTGTGGTACAAACAGTCAAAGGTTAAAGACATGAGTCCCAGTTTTGCTATTCGCTAGCTCTGTGATTTTGAGCAAGTCACTAAATGTTTTGAACATTAATTTTCTCATCTCTAAAATAGAAGTTGTATCCCCTGTCTTACTTATATTGTGAAGTTGCAGTGAAAAATCGGGAGTAATAACAGAAGGGAAAGCTGAAAAGTTGTATTAGAAATATTATGGAAAGAAATGTTCAGTAATTATAAATGAATGAAATACCTCAGCAAAGTAGTAAGCTAATTTATTTTCCTTTATTCTGCCTTAATTTTTCCTCTTATTTCTGCCATCATTTGGTAAATTCTGAGTCTTGACAACAGAGCATTACAATGTGCACTTAATTGTTTTTATTTTTTATTTATTAGTCTGTGCTATTTTAATCTTTAAAATAACCCTATTTTCTTGTGTACCTTAGTACTTAATTACATCCTTTTAATCTCTGTTGCTTCTGTCTTGAGAAATAACTAATCATATTTTAAGATGTTGAAAATTTTGCAGTTATTTTTCTCTTAAAACAATTGAATAATTTGTTTCCTTTGTATATAATTGTTTTTGCTTATCTGTTACTTTGCTGTTTTTGGGAAGGAAACAGTAGCTTTCCCCAGAAATGACAGGATCTACTCTCAGCATTTGGGAAGAGATGTCAGTTTTTCTGTGAGTTATTTTAGGCTATCAGTCACTGAATTGTCAGTTTCTCGAGAAGGTGAAACCACTCTCACCACCAAATAAAGATAATTTTAAAAGGACAGCTTTCATATACCTAATATTTTTAAAGATTTATGATATTAACCTGTATTTAGAATGACAAGTATATGTGAGTTATGCATATTTAATTTTGATCGATTGGTAACAACTGTCTGGAGATGAAAAGAATTTTAGGATACATATGGACTGAGCAGGAAAGAGCACCATGATCAATTACTGATGTCTGGCATAGGCAAAGGCATGAGCAGAAATGAAACACAGGTCATATATATATTCCATTCCTGACCTAAAGTAATATGCAATAATGAGGAGAAAGGAAAATCTTTTTTTTTTTTTTTTAGACAGAATCTCTCTCTGTCACCCAGGCTGGAGTGCAGTGGCACAATCTTGGCTCACTGCAAACTTCACCTCCTGGGTTCAAGTCATTTTTGTGCCCCAGCCTCCCGAGTAGCTGGGATTACAGGCATGTGCCACCATACCTGGCTAATTTTTGTATTTTTAGTAGAGACAGGGTTTTGCCATATTGGCCAGGCTGGTCTGAAACTCCTGAGCTCAATGATTTGCCCGCCTCGGCCTCCCAAAGTCCTGGGATTACAGGTGTGAGCCACCATACTGGGCCAAGAAAGGAAATTCTTGAACTGAGTATTTTGTGTCCTTTCCCAGCAGAAGACAAATAATTAGGACATTGAAAGGTATTTACTTGTCTTATGGAGTAATGAAGCAGATTAAAAAAAAAAAACAACTTTCTCTCTCTCTCTCTCTCTCTAGAGAAAGGAAAATCTAGAGAGAGAGAGAGATAGAAAGTTGTTTTTTTCTCTCTCTCTCTCTCTCTCTCTCTCTATATATATATATATAGAGAGAGAGAGAGAGAGAGAGAGGATCCATGAGTAAGTTTAGTTAAATGCAGTTCCAAAAGATGGTGAGAATTATCAAACTTTGCATAGTCAATTAACAACTAATGAAAGACAAGTAAGACTAATGCCCAGCCTTTCTCCACTGAATATAGTGAGAGTACATTCTATGGTAGCTTGTAAAACTTACTGTCAAAGTTAAAAAAACTAACTCATGGATCCTTGAGGTAAATACACACACACACACACACATACACATACACACACACGTATATGTGTATATATATGTGTGTGTGTATGTATATATATATGTATATATATGTATATATACATATACATATATATACATATATATATACACACACACATATCTCCTGCCACAATACTGAATATTGTATGTTTTGGATTAAGGACACTGTCTCTGTGGATATTCTTCTTAATGGGAACGTCAGAGTTGGTTCTTTTAGCGAGTACCACATTTTCCATACCAGACAGAATTCCTGATTATCTCTGTGAGGATCACAAACTCAGTGTCATGAAGGGGCCCAGCAGGTCTCATGATTGTGAATCTGCTAGTTACAAGGGATAGAGATGATGAAAATCCATGCGCTACCCAGAGTATTCAATTTGAAATTTAAAATAATGCTGCGCTGGCCAAACGAAGCACATCTACAGGTGGCACTGGGCTAGTGCTGGCTAATGTGGGACCTCTGTTTTCAGATAGAAGAGACCAGTTAAGTGAGCAGCATCTATACGCCAACAGCAGTGCAGATTGAGGTCAGCATCATATGGTGGCCTGAGTTGGGATAGGGCAAGTGAATCCCTTTCTTTTATTTTAAGGACTGGTATGGTTGGATCACATTTAATTAAAACCTGTGAGTGATAAACTTGTTCAGATTGTGAAGCATATGGATGTTTTGATAGCTTTTAGAAAAAATAATGAAATATGATATGCTTAAGATTTATTTAATTCTGTCTTTGAACAAGAAACAACTTTGCTAGTAGAAAATGTGACCCTAATATGTAACCATAAATGTAATAGTCAATATGAAAAATTTTGGAGGAAAAGCACATAGCTCAGAAAAATATCCCGTCCAGCCAGGGTTATCTGTTTTGGATTTTGTGTTGAGTTCCTCACTTGTCTGCTCCTCATTCCTGTCACGATCTTCCCTTCATTTAGAAAACGTGCTCATTTTTATTTGGACAATCAATTGAAATCAGTTCCAAAAGGTTTATTTAGACTTTACCTCTTTGATTTTCCTCCCTTCTCTATTTTTTCCAGCTTCCCTCACTTTTCTGTTCTGTGTTTTTGAGATGGAGTCTCATTCTGTCACCCAGGCTAGAGTGCAGTGGCACGATCCCGGCTCACTGCAGCCTTCGCCTCCCAGGTTCAAGCGATTCTCCTGCCTCAGCCTCCGAGTTGCTGGGATTACAGCCTTGGTCCACCATACCCAGCTAATTTTGTATTTTTAGTAGAGACAGGGTTTCAACATGTTAGCCAGGCTTGTCTGAAACTCCCGACCTCAGGTGATCCACCTGCCTCGGCCTCCCAAAGTGCTGTGATTATAGGCAGGAGCCACCGTGCCTGGCCTAGTCTCTGCTTTTTTTTTTTTTTTTTTCCTTTTTGAGTCAGAGTTTCACCCTCGTTGCCCAGTCTGGAGTGCAATTGTGTGATCTCGGCTAACCGCAACCTCTGCCTCCCAGGTTCAAGCGATTCTCCTGCCTCAGCCTCCCGAGTAGCTGGGCTTACAAGCATGTGCCACCACACCCAGCTGATTTTGTATTTTTTTTTTTCAGTAAAGACGGGGTTTCTCCATGTTGGTCAGCCTGGTCTCAAACTCCCGACCTAAGGTGATCCACCCACCTGAGCCTCCCAAATTGTTGAGATTACAGGCGTGAGTCACTGCACCCGGCTCTGTTCTTTTATTTGATTAATTTTCAACTGGTTGTTGAAATTAGTTATGTAACTGACTTGAAATTTTAATGAGAGATTAAATAATTTGCCTATGTTCAAACAAAGAGTAAGTAGGGAGCTGGAATACAACTCCAGTTAGTCTGGCTCTAGAGTCGGCATGCTTAACTGCTAGGCAATAGTTCTCTGTAAATTGAAAATACTTTTTAATTAACAAGCAAATTTATTTTGAAAGTAATTTTTAGGCCGGGCTCAGTGGCTCACACCTGTAATCCCAGCACTTTGGGAGGCTGAGGTGGGTGGATCACAAGGTCAGGAGTTTGAGACCAGCCTGGCCAATATGGTGAAACTCCATCTCTACTAAAAAAAAAAAAAATAAATAAAAATAAAAATAAATACACACATACAAAAATTAGCTGATCATGGTAGCAGGTACCTGCAGCCCCAGCTACTCAGGAGGTTGAAGCAGGAGAGTTGCTTGAACCTGGGAGGCGGAGGTTGCAGTGAGCTGAGATCAAGCCACTGCACTCCAGCCCGGGTGACAGAGCAAGAGTCTATCTCAAAAAAAAAAAAAAAAAAAAAAAAAAAAAAAAAAAAAAAAAAAAAAAAAAAGAAAGAGAAAGTGATTTTTAGTAGGTTTTATTATGTTACTCTAAATTCATGGAGAAATAATGTATCGTTTAGGTAAGAAGTGAGCAATAACTTTTCACCAAGCCCACAGTCAGAGTGAACAGCATAATTCCTCTCTTGAAGGTAGGCTGTGATTAGAGAGGCACATAGTCAAGGGAGGATCTATCTGAGATGGAAGAAAATCAAACCTGTTTATACCTTACAGAGAGGCAATTAAAGGAGGAAAATATTTAAAGATATAGAAGAGAGAAGTAATGACTTCTGAAGAAATAAGGGGTGAGAGGAAAGGGTCAAAGGCAAGAATGAAAGAATTTGGTTAAGCAAGGTGAGGGGGTCTCATTGTCTTAGAGAGAGGGAAAGGTGATGAAAATGGACATGATCCTGTTAAGATGGCTAATGAAGGACAAGGTGGAGAATTATGAGTCTTAAGCCCTGTCACCCTGACATTGCAGGGAAGAGGCAATAGTTAAGACAGGGAGAAGTCCTCTGCCTAGTGCAGGAGCCCAGCAACACCAGATTTTGAAACCAGAAGAAAAACTTACTGATGGCTCCTTGAGGTAAACCTAAAGAACAATAACAAGTATTCAAGTCAGTCTAGAGTTAATAGTTTCAATAATTCATCAATTTCCCAAGAGTCTTCCCAGAAATTATGTTCTCCCTCAGGTTACTAGACTTTCCGCTCCCCTGTGGGTAGGGCCCAGAAGTTGCCACACTTGCAGATGGTCCCATGTCTTTTCCCCCTTAGGCACTATCCAGGAGTGAAAGCTTCAGGGGGATATTCAGGTTAACTGTATTTCCAATGTTCTGATTTCATTCACCACCTTTCTCCTGTCTTTTCCATTTCGCCCTCCCTGTTTCTTTCATCTTTTCAGTTTGGAATCTTCTTTCCACAATGTAATAGCCTCAAGAGCCAAAGAAAGGCAATGTTAGAAAGGTTCTAATTTTATAAGAAAACTGACATCAAGAAATGGAAGGGCGGTGCCTGAGTATGCAAAAAATTAAAGGCAGTTTTAGCCTCCAGTTTTCTTGACTTTAAGTTCAGCACATTTTCCTTCATATTCTTTACAATTTTCTCTTCTTTCTGGAATATTCCTTTAAATTTTTTTTTTTTTTTTTTTTTGAGACAGAGTCTCGTTCTGTCGCCAGGCGCCAGGCTGGAGTGTAGTGGCTCGATCTCGGCTCACTGTAACTTCCACCTCCCAGGTTCAAGCAATTCTCCTGCTTCAGCCTCCCGACTAGCTGGGACTACAGACGTGCACCACCATGCCCAGCTAATTTTTATATTTTAGTAGAGACGGGGTTTCACTATGTTGGCCAGGATCCTCTCGATCTCTTGACCTCGTGATCCACCCGCCTCGGCCTCCCAAAGTGCTGGGATTACAAGCGTGAGCCACGGCGCTCGGCCCTAAAATGTTTTTTTTTTTTTCATTAACATACTGACTATCTTCCCTTCCTAGCATTTTTTTCTGTTCTTTTTGTTCATGCCTAAAATGTTTCTTTTGTAAAATGATCTAAATTCTAGGGCAAGGCTTGTAGAAGTTTTAATAATATAACTTTGATAGTAAATTGTACAAGCTACCATTGAATGAGCTCTCACTACAGTCAGTGGAGAAAGGCTGGGCATTAGTCTCATTTGTCTTACATTAGTTGTTAAATTACTGTGCAAAGTTTGATAATTCTCACCGTCTTTTGGAACTGTATTTAAGTAATCTATGACAGGGTTTAATAATTTTTCTTCTGCTCAACTTGTATGATTCAATGAGGCTAAATTCACAAACTAAACTCCTGTGTTCTTGGGCCTTTTAGCCTTAGGATAAGTTTTGGTGGGAGAAGCAAAAAGGCTGACATTCTAGAAGTAGGACCTGCCTAGAAAGAGACAAATAAGGAGGATGAGGTCCCTAGACGACAAAGGTTTATGGTACTGAAACAACCAAGAACTTGCTCAATTCCCTTGTGAGTTGTGCTAAATAGCCACATATGTAAATGCACATCAACTACTTAAAAGCATCAGCATTAATCCCCCAATCCATTAATCCAAAAAGTAAAAGACTTTTTGTGATCTAGCCTCTCCTACCTTTCAAACTCCTCCACCGTCATTCACAACTAGCCTTCCTGCAATCTCGCGTACATGCCACTTTTCTTCCCCTCTCAGGAACTTGGCATTCTTTCTGCTTGGCGCACTCTTCCCTGAGATCCTCATGTGGCTGCCACCTTTTCACCATTCATGTCAGTTCCAATATATCCTCAGAGAAATTTCTTCGAATGTCCAACTGAAAGCCCTCACTTCTTGGTCTTGCTCTATCATATTATCTTAATTAGTTTTCTCCATAGTATTTACTATGAAAGTCTAGTGATGATGCTATGATACTCTAGTAATTATGGTAGGAATTATGTAGAAGGGGAAATTATTGTATTTGTTTGTGTGTTTATTTTCTGTCTTACCTCACTAGAATCTACGCTGTCTATGAAATACTGTATTGTCTTAGGCATAGCAGTTGCAACTCTCTAAATGATTTCCCCTTTGGAGGGTTTTTGTGGCAAGCCTGTCTCACATGGGTCCTCTGGAGATTTTGCTGGATAAATTCAAGTTTCGAGTTTATTGTTTAGCATGTTTCAACCCCCAAATATTTTACCCTTTCTGTGAGTTAGATGAAAACGAAGCAAAACTAGATAAAACACGTTTTAATTATAAAAGTAATAAAATACTGAGCTTGACAGCTTTCTAAGGGCACCTATTAACAGTTATATATACAACAAAATAGTCTTGTTCATGGGATAAGGTTATGGCGCAGTATTGGATTAGCATAGTAATTCTGATATTTTATATTAATTTACATTTTAAGATTTTCAAATTACATTTGAAAAATTGAAGTAATATATTTTTAACATATGCATGATTTTCTAAATTCCTTGGAACATTTTATTTCCAAAGAATACCTTGGATTGGAAAAGTAAATATATTTAATAATGTCCTGGGAGTAGTTAGACAAGCTCAGGACTTGGAGTCCAAAGGCCAGTTTTTAGAACCCCAGTTTTACTCCTTTTCTAGCTTTGGTCAAGTTAAATAATATCTTTAAACTTCATTTTTCCCTCCTGTGTAATATCTGTAAATAGTCAAGAAACATGACTTTCTTTAATTACAACCCTCTCCCTGTCCCCTACTCCCATGCCCTGGTGTCTTCACAAACCTCTCTCTTCTTCCCTCCTATTTCTAAGTTAATGAAGTTATTACTGTTTTGCTGGAACTCTGATTGCCAGCTAAGCCATTTTAATCATCTCTTTATTCTTTAATCAGTGGACTTCTCATTCTTGAAAGGTCTCATTAATTTCAGACAAAATGCTCAATGATGGGGAAGGAAAAGGCGAAGGGCAAGAGCTCAGCAGAGTTAGGGAATGCTCCTTGGCTCTGCGACACACCAAAGAGACTGAGAATTTGGAAATTTGAATTTTTCTTTTTGCTTTCCTAAAAAGAAATGCAAATAAAAAATTCCTGTGGTTGTCTGGCCAAAAAACTATCCATTTCTTTCTTTTTTGCAGGGACAGAGCAGGGATAAGTAGCAGAACAAAGAACTCCTGGGAGCACCAAACCCTTAGTGCCGGTTACAGCTCAGGGAGATAGGGAATTAGGCATCTCTTCCATTGCTGCCAGCCTGACTTGGGGATGCCTCAGGGAAGGCTAGCCTTTCCTGCCAGCCATGCAAAGCTTTGAAATTCTGAGGACACAGCTAATATAATTTATCTCTCATTCTTTATTATCTTCATTCTCATCTTATTTTTCTTACTAGCTTATTGCTCTCATCCTTCATTTACTCTGTTTTTTTCAACACTTCAGGTTTGGAAATTGCTCTCTTCATGTCATCGTAATAAACCACTAGAAACTTGCATTTACTTTCTGTACTTTTGACTGATTATTGAGATGTCTGGTTATGGAGAACAAAGAAATTGGACAAATGTGAAGCCCAAGCTTCTGCTGGGCTTCAGTGAAGAAGTCTGGGAAGTTTAGGAAGATATACTCTTGATTAAATGGGGCTAAATGTCAGCACAATTGAAGAAAAGTAAAGGAACTTACCAACACTTGATTGAGACAGTGCTAAAATAAAACACATCAAAACAAGAGTGAGTTCTGGTTGTCCAGGGAGAACTTAGATGCCATAGACACTATATTGCAGAAAGGTTGTGGGAAAGAGGATAGAAATGAGTCATATTTCATTTTCTGTTATCAACTGGAATGCAATGTGGTGATCAGCTGGATATCTACATATGGATTGCAGTACTTTTTTGACTACAAGATCTATGCAAACTATCTTTTAATTTCAGTGATTAAGAGAATAAAAATATTTTTGGAGATTGCTAGTTTCTCAATCTATGGACATTTTTCTGTTCATGTGTCTTCTTTCATTGGTGATTCTGCTGCTTTGTTCTTTCCTTCTGTACCTTTCTGTCACCTATTCCTCTGTCCCCTTAATTTTCTTTCTTTTTTCCCTTTGTTTGAAAATATTTTTTGTTACACCAAACAATTACCACCTAACTGCTTCAATAGGGGTTTCCACTTTCCAAAATTCACTTGTGCCCTATAGAGATGAATAGCAAGAGATCAAATCAGGAATTTCTTGAATAATACTAGAAGCTAAAGAGTCAAAGAAGTGAAAGGGGGATTACTATTGAGGGGGATATTTCATCCTCTCATTTAAGTGATTACTTTGAACACTGTATTTTTTAAAGTTTATAAAGTAGAGCTGTGCTGGAAAACTAAAAAGAGAAGTAATATATTCAAGAACAGTACATCAAGAAGGAACCCATATGCTTGGTAATGAATGGGAAGTTTCACTACCCATGTGATATCTTATTGCAGGGGCTGAGTCTTAAACACCTGATCAACAGCAGAAGGCCACAGTCATGCATTGTTAAGAACCTGGGATGAACTTCCTGTTTACTGTGTTAGGTTACATGGCAAAAGGGAATTAATGTTGCAGATACAATTAGAATTGCTAATCAGCTCACCTTAAAGTAGGGTAATGATCTTGGTATATCTGGGTAGGTCCAATATAATCACAAAGATTTTTAAGAGTGGAAGAGGGAGGTAGAAGAGAGTAAGAGAAAGAGATATTACAATGGAAGAAAGCCAGAATGATGTGATGCAAGGACTTGATTTATTTTTTGTTCACTTTGAAGATAGAAGAAGGGTGCCATGAACCAAGGAACGTGGTCAGCCTCTAGAAGCTGAAAAAGCAAGGACACGGATTTGTTCCTAGAACTTCCAGAAAGAATGCAGTCTAGCTGACAACCTGATTGTTGTCCACTGAGACATATGTGACAGATTTATAACCTATGGAACTGATAGGTAACAAATTTGTGTTGTTTTAAGCCATTAAATTTGTGGTAATTTGCTAGAGCAGCTATAGAAAACTAATGCAACATGGTTAGACTATTTCCCCCCAATTCCCTTGTAGTTAGGTGTGGCTATATGATTGAGTTCTAGCCAATCTACTGTTGTTAGAAGTGATATGAAAGTCATCCAGTGGATGATCTTGGAAGATCATCTACTCATGATCTTCAAGCTTTTTTCTTTCTGTTCACGTATGGAGGACAAACATGATGAACGTAGGAGCCATTATTTGAAGATGGTGGAGACTTTAGATAAGATGAATTTGAGTGCCTAAGACATCGTTGAGAGAAGGGCCATCCACCAATCTGGAATTCCTGTTTTGGACTTCTCATAAGTAAGAAATAAAATTCTATTAGGTAAAACCACTGAGATTTTAAGATCTGGGGTTAACTTAATGCAGGTAAGAAATACAAAAGAGAAGTTGCAAGATCTGAAAGATGGAAGGAAAATCTTTATATATATACATAGTAATTTTAGAAGTAGAGACTACAGTTTGTAGATAGATATAGATATAAATATGGGCTAAATTCACAGCAATTAAAGTTAAATTTTTCTATTTAGAGAAAGACTGAGTCCACCGAATAGAAACTCTTGAATGTTTATGAGTGTGAGATTACTTCATTTATCCTGCTCAGAGTAAATGGAAACATTCAAGAGTTTCCATTCTGGGTCTGAGATTCACTTCATTTTTCCTGTTCAGGGTAATCTTACACTCATAACAAGTATATCTCACACCCATAAACATTATAATTAAAATGCACAGCACAAAAACAAAGATAAAATCTTGAAAATATATTTATGTAGGAAGAACCATCAAACTAGTAGTAGATTCTTATCAACAATAATAAATAGTAAACAACAAGAAAATGGAATAAATCTTCAAAGTACTGAGAAAAAATAATGTTCAATTCTATACTCAGCTAAGTTTTCATTTAAGGCTGAGGGTGAAGTAGATCTGTTTTTAGTCATATGAAGCCTTAGAAAATTTTTCACACACATGCGGAGTTTAAAGAACTACTAAAGGATTATATCTGGGCAAGAAATAAAAGAGAAAAGATGTAGGATATAGCAAATAATGTTAAGCAAAAACAATGCTGATTGTTATAAGTCTAAGTAATTGTTAATCATGAAAAATAAATGATTATTTTATTTTTAAAATGAATGCTATAAACAAGATGGAGAATGTGGAAAGAATAGTTTGGAGGGAAGACAGTCAGTAAAGGTTATTATCTATTCTTGGAAGAAGATGCTGATTATCTTTAATTTTTAAAGAAAAATTAAATAGTACACATTACAAATATAAGGATGAGTAAAACAAAATCCAGAAAAACATTAAGTAAAATAAAAGAAACAAGGAAATCTAACGTAGCAGCAGAAGGTAGGAAAGAAGATTTAAAAAATAAAAGAAGAAAGCATAGAACTGTAAGTTGAAAACAATATAAATTGGCAAAATTACATAAACACATAACAATTAACAATTCATCTATTAGGAAACAGAAAATTTTACATTGTTAATATCAACAAAGTCAAGCAATATGCCATTTAAAAAGACACAAGACAAAAACTCCTAAGGTTCAAAATAAAACGATGAAAAATATGTATAATATGAAAAATATGTATAATAGGCAAATGCTAATTAAAACAAAGATGTTAGAACAATGCTAATATCAGACAGCGTAGAATTAAAGTAAAAAAACAGTCATGAGGACATGAGTGGATATGAGGATATGAGTTTCAGCAGCATTTAGAAGTTACTTAGATACTTCTATTAGGAAATAAGAGTGCCCATTTTGCCAGCACATATACTAAAATTGAAATGATGCAGAGAAGATTAGTGTGGCCTATGTGTAAAGATGACATGCAAATTCATGAAGTGTCTCATATAAAAATAAAATAAAAAAGAAGATAAGAAATTCTGGAAATTAATTAAGAGTTTCATATAGCAAGCTAGTAAAAGGAACAAAAATAAAGCAAAAGTAAAGAGAAGGAATTTTAACCATAGATATACGTAGCCCAAGGTATGACAAGAAAATGGTTCCAATAATTGGAAAAGGAGGCCAGGAGCGCTGGCTCATACCCGTAATCCCAGCACTTTGCGGGGCTGAGACAGATGGATCACGAGTTCAAGAGATTGAGACCATCCTGTCCAACATGGTGAAACCCTGTCTTTACTAAAAATGCAAAATTTAGCTTGGCGTGGTGGCACGCGCCTGTAGTCCTAGCTACTCGGGAGCCTGAGGCAGGAGAATCACTTGAACCCGGGAGGCGGATGTTGCAGTGAGCCGAGATTGCCACTGTACTCCAGTCTGGTGACAGAGCGAGACTCCATCTCAAAAAAAAAAAAAAAAAAAAAAAAAAAAAAAAAAAAAAAAAAAATTGGAAAAGCAAACTCAAAATTATCAGATTTTACAGATGGCATGATTTTTTACATGTATAATTCAAGAGAATCTAAAAATTATTAGAACTCAAAGAACACAGCAGGGTGGCTAGATATAAAATCTACTCTCAGATATACAACATATAACTTACATGCCAGCAATAATTATTTGTAAAATCCATATAAAGATACTATTCATATCAGAAAGAAAAAACAAGTATGTGTGTAGGAATTAATCCAACAAAAGACATGCAAGACTTTTCTGAAGAAAATTATATCACATTATTGAAGGGTATATGAGAAAATTCGAATAGTAGGCAACTATGCTAATGCATGGGAAGAACCGATTTTAAAATTAATTACAGACTCAATGAAATTTCAGTGAGGTTTCAAGAGTCAAATATGACTCTCAGGGATTTTGAGAAATTATAAAATTCTTGTGTAAGAGAAAATGTCCAAGAATAGCCAACACATTTCTGAAAAAGAATGAAGATAATGTGCTATTTCTTATAATAAACATTATAAAGTTTTAGTAGTGAAAGCAATATAGTATTGGTTCAGTAAAAGACAAAAGATCACTGGAACAGAAAATAAAATCCATGGAAAAAACAAATATATAATGAAGACGGCATTACAAATCAGTGGAGAAAGAATGCACAAGTTAATAAATCTAGTTGGAGCAACATGAGAAGAAATCCATCTAGTTGGTTTTCTAGATGAGAGGAAAATTAGATCTCACCTGTATTATTTCTAAAATCACTCACTAAAACCAAAAAACAATTAACAAAACCCCATTTGGATTAAAGGCCTGTATGTGGAAAGGGAAACTTTAAAACTGTTAAGAGAAAGTATTAGATAATATATTTTTGATACCCAGATAAGACCGAGCAAACAAACAAACAAGCAGAAACTAGAAGAGAACAAAAGATTGACAAGTTTTGTTACAATAAACTGTGTGGCGCTGGGGGAGAGCGAGTGGAGGCCTTCTAAGAGTCAAGAGACACCATAAAAATTTAAAGCTAAGAGACAGAATTGGAGGAGATAATTGCAAATATTTAACATAACATATAAAAGTTGATCTTTCATAATAATAAAGAATTCCTACAGATCAATAATCTAATACATAAATGGGTGAAGTAAATGAACAAGCAATTTATATAAGGTGAAGCCTAACTAGTAAACCTATGAGAAGATACTCAATTTCAGGAGTGAGCAGGGAAATGGAGATTTTAAAAATTGTAAATGTATTCAAGTGTCAATAATATAAAAATATGACAAAATCTGGGATTGTTACTAATGCAGAGAAATGGGGAAACTTTTATATATTTTTGTACACCTCTATGTAACTACCAAGGAGCTTGATTAAATAATAGCTAGTAAAATTTAAAATATGCATAAATTATACAAATGTTCATATACAATGTGATCATTAATCCTACTTCAGGGTATGCACCCTGGATAAACTCTTCTCCATCTACTTAAGGACATTCTTTGCAGCATTATTTGTGATAGCGGAAATTGGAAACATTGAGAATTCATCAATAGGAGAAATAATAGAAAAATATAGTATATTCATAAATTGGAATATTATTCAATAGTTAAAGTGTATATCCTGGATTTCAATATTACATTTTGAGAGAAAAATGCAAACTGTAATGATACTATCAGACGGATGCCATTAAAAAAGATACTGTATTTTGTTCAGTGATAGGTAGAGACTATAAATATATGTAAATAGACTTAAAATATTTAAAATATATTAATAAGACTGGGAAGAAGGGAGTGAAATAAGTCTATGATAACTTGAGAAATATGACAAGAATATAATCAAATTGTCACATCTAAGATGTAGATATACAAGTGTTAATTATTTTTACACTCAATTTAAAAAACTTTCTTAAAAGAGAAAAAATATAGAAAAAATAGGGATGGAAACCAGATGACAGTAGAATTGAAAGAAAACCACAAAGCACTTACCTAGAGAGTTGGCTGACGGTGCTAAAATACACACACAGAAAACATGGGTGAATCATGAGAATTTGGATCTCTAATTTTGCATATCAGCTTCAGTCACTGTCACCCCCTTCTCAGGAGTTGACACCTATGCCAAGGGAGTCATCACTGATCTGGTGATGGGTACCAAAGGCCACTCCCACGAGCCACTGCATGTGCTTTCGATCTCTAAAAAAGGGTTTAACGTTCAGTAGGTAGAGGCCATTCCTATTGTCCTAATTCCTCCCTCCATTTCCCTCTCTATTTTCTTCTCTCTCTCCCTTTTATCTTCATTACTTACCTTTTCTCTTGCTCATCACTTCTTCTGCTTTCCTCTTCTCCCAGCCAATTTGAAAACCTGTTTGTTACTGACAGATCATTCTAGACTAGCACTAGAAAACTTAGTATCCATATGACTTGACATATGACAGGATTTCTCTTTCTTCCAAAGCATTCGCAATCTAGGGGAATGTTGCTAAGGGGAAGCAAATTTTTGTTGAGAAACAAGACAGTACTTACTGTAATCTCGTTTGGATCCCTCTGAAAACACAAACAAAAGAAAGAAAAATCAATTTGGATATTTTATTTCTGTAGTTTTGGTATCATTTCAGAGGATCACCCAATCAACACCCTCAAATATCCAATTAGACAAGAAACTGAAGACAAAAATCTCCTCATGACTTAATTTATAAGTTAAATGACATAAAAAACCAGGCAGAGATCAATTATGATAAATACACTATCCATGCAAACATTAAAGAAATAACAAACTATCCATGCAAACATTAAAACAGAAGAATATATAGTTATAAAATAAGTTGAGGTCAAATAAAATAAGGAATGGTAAAATATTTCCTCACCTGATGGATAATTCAAGTTCAATGAAAATATGGCAAATTATAATGAATACATATGTGTATATTGATTGTGACTGAATGTGCATCCTATGATCTAAAACTTGTTTCTTAGTGGTGTCATGGAAACAGACTTTCTAAAAGATCTGAAGACAAAGCAAATTACATGACAAACCAGACATGTTATCACTATTGTTTTCATAACAGTGTAAAAGTAAATAGTAATATTGATACTTTGTAGTTGATTTAAATTATATCGAATCATAGCATCACTTGATATTTTACTAAAGTATAAATATCTACTCAGAAATGTAAAGACAACAATATTCTTTTTCAGCTTCTTTTCTGAAAACTAACACTCTCCTTCCATACTTGATAGTTATTGTGATGGGAATCGAGTACAAAATACATTCTCTGTTTTATAATAATGTTACTTGTTTCATGTACTACACTTAGACGTTTGCTAGAAAAATACTAAGAATAAATTTAATTTCAAACAAATTTTGGAATAACCATGGCAGCTTTTATATGTGATATATTTAAATTAAACTGAACTTTGAGTATGGAATTTCATGTACCGACACTGACATAATGACCTTATCTAATATTAACATCTTCCTGCCAGAAAATTTCTATAGTCTCAAGTTGACCAGTACATTTATATTCCTATGCCTAGAAATAATACAGGGAAGGCTAGTATAGCTTGGGAACTTAGAAGCTTAGGATGACTGAGATTTATAGGTTATGTTACGGGGACTGGAAAGTCAGAGAAATAGTTATTTGGCTTTATGAATTTTAAATGTGACTTATTAAAACAGCAATAAAATGTTTATTGATTCAAGTTTTCCCTAAGAATGCAAGGGAGCCCAGATTAGAAAGATCCTAAGATTGTAGGCTGTACAGTAAATATCTGCAAACAGGAAATTAACACTTAAGTTATTACTAAATTATATAAGAATAAACTAACCTTCTGAAATTTGGAATCAAGACAATTCTAAATTCCTGTTTAGGTTGTCACTTGCAAGTCCTGTGGCCTTGGGCAAGCCATTTAATGTTTTTTCAGCATTAGTTTCTCTTCTGTGAATTAGGGGTAACAATAGTAAATTACTTTATTCATTTAAGAGCTATTTATTAAGGATCTCCCTGACTGTGGTGAGGAGAATAGACTGTAAGAAGGCAAGAGGAATACGAGGAAACAAGTTAGGAGGCAAGAGATGTTGGCACTTAAGCTGAGAGTGTCATGGTGGTGGAAAGTGGTTTGATTTGGAGTATAATTTGAAGGCATCAGAGATAGGACTTGATGGTGGGTTGGATGAAGAGAGTGAGAAAGGAGTTAAATATGACTCCAAGGTAGATAGTCTGAACAATTAGGTGAATGCAGGTGCCAGCGATAGTGTGTAGAAGGGATTAGGGCCTGGGTTTTAGACATGCTAAGAGTGAGATGCCTTTCATATATCTTCAGGACAAGTGTATTATGATTATACAGGTTGTTCACTGCACGAAGGGTTAAGGGAACTGAAATCCCCAACAGTGTCTCTGGGGCGGGGCTGCATTCACCTGGAGGAAGGAACACCTTTTCTTAATATGCACCAAAGCAACCTGTGGGCTACCAAGGACTTTGACTGCCAGGGAAGGATTTTTGTTGTAGTTCATCTTTGTGTGGTTGACAGGGTGTTTGTAGATACTAAATATTAAGAAAATGAAAAAAAAATGCCCACTAGAGTGAATAACACATAGTAGGTGCTGAGTACATGTGAATTATCTTCCCTTCCTATGGTGTGAAGCTTTATTTTGCTTATTTGTGTACCCTTAAATTCCTAACATTGAGGTAGCATCTTGCACTGGTTAAATCTGGTGTTCCGATGGACTGTTAGTAAAGAGGTTTGTTCCCCAGAAATATGAGATGTAAATGACAACAGTAGACAATAGCAGCATTTCTTTGTACCTTTGGAATTTTATTGCATAAGTCATGCTTTAACGTGATGAACTTTTAGGATTATTCCTTGATTTCTTAATATTTCCATTAAGAAAAGTGCAATGAGTAGTTAGCATTTGTGAGATTTGGGATGGTGAATTTCTCTTGACTACTCAGATTATTTTTTTCTTTTCTTTAGCTTTATTGAAGTGTAATAGACAAAAATTATATATATTTAAGGTGTACAATGTGCCATTCTAATATATATGTATACATAGTAAAATGATTGCCCCAATCAAATGAATTAACATATCTACCACTTCACACACTTACTTTTATTTTTCATTTTGTGATGAGAATATGTAAGATCTACTCTCTTAGTAACTTTCAAGCATACAATACATCATAGTTCCCATGCTGTACATTGGGCCTACATAACTTATTTGTCATAAAACTGCAAGTTTTTATCCTTTGGCCAACATCTGTCCATTTCTTCCACCTTCAACCTCTGGTAATCACCTTTCTGCTCTCTGAGTTCAGCTTTTTAAGGTTTCATATACATATGAGATCATGCAGTATTTGCCTTTCTGTGCCTGGCTAATTTTACTTAGCATGAGGTCTTCCAGGTTCATTCAGGTAATCACAAATGGCAGGATTTCTTTCTTTTCTTAAGGCTGAATACTCTTTGTTGTGTGTGTCTGTGTATCACATTTTCTTTATCCATTCATCCGCTGATAGACACCTAGTTTATTCATGTATCTTGGGTATTTTAAAAAATGCTGCAATGAATATGGGAATGCAAATATCTCTTCAAGATAATGATTTTTATTTCCTTTGAATATATGCCCAGAAGTGGCATTGCTGAATCATATGGTAGTTCTATTTTTAGTTTATTGGAGGAACCACAATACTGTTTTCCATAATGGCTGTATTAATTTACATTCCTAACAACAGTGTACAAGGGTTCCCTTTTCTCCACATCCTTACCAACACTTGTTATCCCTTGACTTTTTGAATGCATCCTAACTGGCATGAGGTGCATTTCCTTGATGATTAGTGATGTTGGGCACCTTTATATTTATTTATTAGTTGACTGTATGTCTTCTCTGAGAAATGTCTATTTAGGTCCTTAGTCCATTTTATAAATCAGCTTGTTTGAGCTATATTTTGAGTTGTATCTTGCTTTTGAGTTGCATGAGTTTCTTATATATTTTGGATATTGCTATGGTTTGAATGTTCCCTCCAAAACTCATACTGAAACGTAATCCTCAATGTGACAGCATTGAGAAGTGAGCCTTAAAGAGATGATTATATCATAAGGGTTCTAACCACATAAATGGATTAATCCATTAATGGACCAATGAATTGTCATGCAAGTGGAACTGGTGGCTTCATGAGAGGAAGAAAGACCTAATCATAGCATGTCAGCCACCTTGCCATGTTATGCCCTGTACCACCTCAGGAATCTGCAGAGAATTCCCACTGGCAAGAAGGCTCTCACCAGATGTGCCCCCTCAGCCTTGGGCTTTCCATTCTCCATAACAGTAAGAAATAATAATAAGCTTCTTTCCTTTATAAATTACATAGTTTCAGATATTCTGTTATAAGCAACAGAAACAGATTAAGACAAATATTAACCACTTATCAGATACATGGTTTGCAAATATTTTCTCCCGTTCTGTGAGGTGGCTTTCATTTTGTTGATTGTTTCCGGCTTTTGTTACTGTGTTTTTGGTGTCATATAAATAAAAAAAACTTGCGAAGACCAACATCATGGAGCTTTCCCCTGTTTTATTATAGGAGTTTTACAGTGTCAAGTCTTACATTTAAGTCTTCAATTCATTTCAAATTGATCTTTGTGTATGGTGTATGATAATGAACAACTGCATATGGATATCCAGTTTTCCCAATAACATTTATCCTTTCCCTTTTGTGTATTCTGAGTAACTTTATTTTCTCCCTCATTAATTTTCTGTGTGAATGATCTATTCATTGTTGATAATGGGTTACTGAAGTCTACTATTATTATTATAGTGCTGTCTATGTCTCCCTTCAGTTATGGTAATATTTGCTTTATATAAGTAAGTGCTCTGATGTTATGTGCATATATACTTACAATTTTGCTATCTCAATGAATTGGTCCCCTTTATAATTATATAATGACCTTCTTTGTCTCTTGTTATAATTTTTGACTAGAAGCCTATTTCACCTGATGTAAGTATAGCCACCCCTACACTCTTTTGTTTTCCGTTTTCATGGAGCATCCTTTTTCCATCCCTTTGCTTTTGTTCTGTGTGTATCCTTAGAGCTACAGTGTGTTTACTATAGGCAGCATATAGTTGCAACTTGTTTTTAAATACATTTAGCTACCGTATGTCTTTTCATTAAAAAATTTAATCCATTTACATTCAAGTAATTATTGATAGTTAAGGACTTAATATAGCTATATTCTTGGTTGTGTTCTGTCTGTTTTGTATATCCCTTGTTCCTTTCTTCCTGTCTTTCTTTGTGATTTGCTGATTCTCTGTAGTGGTATGCTTTAATCTCTTTCTGTTTTGTGTATCTAGCATAGGTTTTGTGTATCTAGTATAGGTTTTTGGTTTGCGGTTACCATAGGCTTACATAAAACATGGTTTCAACAGTCTATTTTAAGCTAATAATAACTTGAAATAGATTGCATACAAAACTCTACACATTATCCTCCCTACTTTTTACATTCTCGGTGTCAAAATTTACATTAAAAAATTGTATATACATTAACAAATCATGTATTTTAAATATTTTTGTCTTTTAACTTTTATATTAGCATCATAAGTGATTTATACACCATTATTACAATATTAGAATATTCTGAATTGACTGTATATTTACTTTACTAGTGAATTTTATATTGGAACACATTCATGTTTTCATTTTACTAATTATTGGCCTTTCATTTCAGCTTGAAGAACATTCTCTAGTATTTCCTGTAAGGCAGATTCATGGGTGATAAACCCCCTCAGCTTTTGTTTGTCTGATAAAGACTATCTCTTCCTCATATCTGAAAAACAGCTTTACAGGGTAATGAGTTCTTGGTTGACAGTTTTTTTTCTTTCAGCAACTTGAATTTGTCATCCCACCATGTATTGGCCTAGAAAATGTCTAGGCAGACATTTTCTAGGCCAGTAGAATCTTCTTTCAAGATTCTCTCTTTAACTTTGATTACTGACTATTTGACATAATGTCTTAAAGAAGTCTTCATTGGGTTAAATATGATTGGAGAGTTTTGAGTTTCATGTATCGAGATGTTTGTATCTCTTCACAGATTTGGAAAGTTGTTAGCAATTATGCCTTAAATAAGCATTTATTCTATTTTCTTTCTCTTTTCCTCTGAGACTCCAATAATGCAAAAGTTAGCTTCCAATTTATTAGGTGTCCAATAAATCTTGTACACATTATTCATTTCTTTTCTTTGTGTTTCTTTTTTGTACTCTGACCAGATAATTTTAAATGATTGTCTTTGACTTCTCTTGTTCTTTCTTGTACTTGATCCATCATCTTTGAAACTCTATTCCCTTTTTGGTTTTTAGCTTAGTCATTGTATTCTTCAGCTCCAAATTTGTTTGGCTCTCTATCTTTTTCTATGTCTTTGTTGAACTTCTACTTTTGTTCTTGTGTTGTTTTCCTGACGTCACTAAATTGTTTATCTGTGTTGTCTTGTAGCTCACTGAACTTTCTTATAACAATTGTTTTGGATTTTTACTCAGGCAACTGGAAGATTGATTTTTGGCAAATCTTCATTTTTGGTGGTTAGTTACTGAAATTATTGTGTTCTTTCAGTGGTGTCATGTTTCCTTGTTTTTTATGTCCTTGAAGTCTTGTGTTGCTTTTTCACATTTGCAGAAATGGTCGCTCCCTTCAGTATTTGTTAACTGCCATTGGGAGAGAAATGCTTTCACCAAACAGCCCAGCTGAGACTCTCTCAAAGCTTTTCTATGGATGTGCCTGCTCCACAGATGGGAATTCTTTTTTTTTTTTTTTTGAGACAAAATTGCATTCTGTTGCCCAGACTGGAGCAGTGGTATGATCATGGCTCATGGTGGCACCCGAACTCTTGGGCTCAAACAGTCCTCCAACCTCAGCTTCCTGAGTAGCTGGGACTATAGGCATGCACCACCACATCTAACAAGTTTTTTTTTTTTTTTTTTTTTTTTTTTAGAGATGAAGTCTCACTATGTTTCCCAGGCCAGTCTCAAACTCCTGGGCTCATGCAGTCCTCCTACCTTGGCCCTGCAAAGTGCTGGGATTTCAGGCATGAGCCACCACACCCTGCCTAGATGGGATTTCTAAGATTGTGTCTTCTCTCAGTCCTGCAAAGCCATTTCAGGTTCTGAGAACCTTCCCTTTGTTTTCTCTTGGGTGGCTCTCTGGAATTCTCAAATTTGTGTGCTTTTTTCCAGTCCCACAAAGTCAAACTGACTATGAGATGTTTCAACTTGTTGTCCATGGTGGCTCATTTGGGAACTCAGCCTGGGTGGGAGAGTGAAATGTGTGGAATGTTTGACATGCCTGTGGATCAGTAGTGCAAGGGTCATAGGTTAGGGATCTCAGATGACAGACTTTCTGATGAGGTGTGAGTGAGTTCTGCAGTCTCTTTTCTCTGCTCCTAGCCTCTCCTAACCATTCAACCATGCTGATCATCTCAGTGTTCTGGGTGGAATGAGAAATAAGTGGGTCTACTGGACAGTATCCTGAATTGAATGGCCAAGGGATGTGGGTACTCACTCATTATGTTTTCCACTTTTTTGCTGTGGAAGGAATTGTGGGCCAAGTGCACCTATCTCAGCAATGAGTTGTGCCACCTTGGGGGAGGAGTGATGTGGGTAAAGTGAAACTGTTCTTCTTACCCTCTTTATTGCATCTGTTAGGATTTTATAACCTGACAGTCTGCTGGAACTTCTCTGCTGGACTCTTGGACTTCCACAAGGGTATTTTCTCATCTGTGGATAGTTGTCTCAACTGTTTCTGTGTGGGAAGAAAGCTCCTATTCTACTATCTTGCTGATGCCATTCTCTCATATTTCTTTTGTTAAATGATTAGGAGTTGGATAGGAGAGGAATTGCAGAGCTTTGGGGAAAATGGTGCCGCATAGTGTGATGGTGAATGTTTGTGAACATTTCTCAGGATATTCTGTACACTACTTTACTACTTTGATTTCTTCCTCTTCTTCTTCTTCTTTTTTTTTTTTAAAAAGACTTCGGTCGGTTTTTATATCTTTTCATGTTATGGCAGGAAGAAGCAATGATTTTCCTTTAATTTTGCCAAAATCTCTAAATACACTTACCTTGGTTATCATATGAAGTATCTAGAGAATTGCAGAAAAATTATAATATTCTTAATTTCTCATAAACAGAATCCTATATTAATTTCTTAGCAATACAATAATTTACCACTTTCTGTTGAATATGTGTGTCGGGATCCTAAAAGAGAAGATTAAAAACGTAATGAGATTTTACCTCAACAAGTAAGTCTGTATTATTTTTCGTTAGATAAAAATCTGTTTACCTCTTCCTCTTTTAGATCTCCGAGAAGAAAAATCTTTTAGGGAAGAAAATAACACATTAACTTTACCAACAGTTCATTAAAAAATAAGTTTATCATTCGTCTCAACCCAACTACTAAAAGATTTGCTAATTTCCCAGATATTCCCATTTTCTTTGGGTTTTATTTCGGAAAATAAGAGGTAATGCCATGGCACTTTGTTCCTCTCTCTCGTTCTTCATGATAGATGAGTCATAGAGGCAAGAAGGAGAAGGATGGACCAAGAGTTCAAGTGTGGGGCATGGACAGCAAGCGAAGTGCCTGAGCTGCTTCCTCTTTTCTTTCCTCAACTCTCAGGGATCTGTGTGTTTGTAGTGTGTGTGTGTGTGTGAATTATATCCACATATCCACATCTACAATCTTTTTTTTTTTTTTTTTTTTTTTGAGACGGAGTTTCACTCTTGTTACCCAGGTTGGAGTGCAATGGCGCGATCTCGGCTCACCGCAACCTCCGCCTCCTGGGTTCAGGCAATTCTCCTGCCTCAGCCTCCTGAGTAGCTGGGATGACAGGCATGTGCCACCATGCCCAGCTGATTTTTTTATATTTTTAGTAGAGATGGGGTTTCACCATGTTGACCAGGATGGTCTTGATCTCTCGACCTCATGATCCACCCGCCTCGGCCTCCCAAAGTGCTGGGATTACAGGCTTGAGCCACCGCGTCCGGCGAGAAGGAAGACTACAATCTCTTAACCTTATAGTTCTGGTGTAGCTGGTGGGCCTGGTGTGGACAACTTTAGTGACTTCCAGCAGGAATGAGAGGTAGCTCTAGTGGTTCTTGTTGAGTTCTGGAGATAGGACTAGTCAGAGAGAGAGAGAGAGAGAGAGGGAGGAGAGAGAGAGAGAAAAAGAGAGGGAGAGAGTGAGTGAGCCAAGGGCACATCTATACGCAGCCCTAGTGAGTGGATGTTGAAAGAGAGCATTGAGTGTTGGGGTGTGAGGGTTAAGGGTAGCCACGGTATATTGAAAATAGTGGTACTGGTGTGTCCCTTCAAAAAAGTAGACAGTACGTTGCTGTCTTCTCATAACTATCACATTTCAAAACCTGAGTTTGATATCCAGCTTCTTCCTCAGCTAGGTGAACTTGAGTAAGTCTCAATCTTTTGAGCATAAATTTCAGTTTCTTAAATGGGGACAAGCTTTGTTTACTTCTTATATTATGCTGTATGGCTTTCAAAGTATATTTTTACATATACTATTCCATTTCATATTCATTTTATCCACATTTTAAACATCTAGGAAACTATTTTGGAGAGGTTCCTTAACCTTTCTAACATCTTAGGGGTAAACAGAAAATGGAAATGAATTATTTTGATGGTCTTAAGAAGGAAAATTATTTACCTTCCCTGAGAAAAATGCACAATTTTTCTTGAGAGAGAGAAGAGTGATAAGCATTTGGATATTATAACTAGGAAATATATCCTGACTCAACAATCATACTCAAAGGGAGATGAGTTGATTTACTCTCTTCATTTCTCCATTAACTCTCTAGTAGTTCCTAATTTATTTACCTCTACCATCCTCACAGTCCAGAAGTCCAGCACCTAGAAAAAAAGGAGAGCCATGATTTTGTTTCATGATTATTAATGAGGCTTTATTTAAGACTCTGAGAACTAATGTAAACATGAACTCCTAATGGTGAATAACGATGTGAATTAATTTACTTTGGAGAAACTAGGAATTGTGCATAAGTTGCAGGAGCTGCTGATGATAAGTGACTGTGCCAATCACCGGTTTTATAATAATAGTCAGGCTAAATAATCAGGAGTTTCAAAATTTCTTTTGCGTCTTGATACTTCAGAAACTAGTCTCCTGTTTTTTTTTCTTGCCTTGTACCAATCCTGTTCTATCTTTCTTAGCAAGTTTGGCATCTCTCCAGACCTTTCCATGAAGTCTTCCTCACCTCTTCACTTCCTGAAGTTGGTACTCTTCTCAGTATAATTACCTTAACTGTGTTCACTCTCTTTATTCTAGGATACATTAGATTTTTCTGTCCAGCCACCTTACTTAGACCCTCTGCAATAATGGATTTTGGTTTTTTAATGAACCATCTGTTCCATCTCCTGAGGAGTTTGTTATTTCTATGGGTTAGTGTCTCTGTTGCTGCTCTCAGACTGCAGGAAACATCTGAAGAAAGCCTCAAAATTATGCAGGCCTACCCAGTGTTAATCAATTCTTTCCAACTCTGGTTTGGCATTCAGTACCACTGAGAAATCTCTGGTAGATTTCTCCCAGTCACTTAGAAGTTCAGTTCATGCAATGGTGCACTATGTAAGGTTCTGGAAACACAAGTGTAAACAAGATTTCATTCCTGACTTGTGAAAATTCTATAAATACTTACTATATTTCTTTTTCTTATAAGCACTTACTTTGCTCTGAACAGTAACTGGAGACACACATTTCTGTGGAAGAATCAGGCAAAATGTTTTTATTAGTTAGTTGTGAGAAGTGTTCTTGCTCCGACCCAACTCTCCTCCCTCTAAGCTGTTCTTCTCGTCCCCCAAGGTGGTCCTCCTGATACAGTGCAGTTTTGTTCTCACCTGCTTTCCACACCTCGCATCAGCCCTGTGTTATCTATCGTTTCACACTACTTACACTTTGAGGGCTCACAGGCACTGAGGGTGGGAAACAGGGAAGGAATATAGCTGATTGGAAAGTTGTGGGAGAGAAACAGAAAAACCCAGGAAATAGTGATCTTATGGCATAGAAATAGGTCTTCACTTTTACGAGCTCCATCTCTGTTTCACTGACAAGTACTACTCTGTATTTGTCGCTTCTTATCATCTCCCCAAATTAAGTCACTAAAAGTCTCCAATTTTCTTTATATAATACTAGATATTGGAGTTTACCAACATACTGTCTTCACACTTCTATTTTTTTTTTTTAACTCTGGTAATTTCCCTTAGAGCCCAGGCAATTTTCTTTTAAAGTATTCTCATTACTTTTGCTAAACTCTACCTGTAATTTTTCTTTTTTTTTTGGCAGAATCTCACCCTGTCACCCAGGCTGGAGTGCAATGGTGTGATCTTGGCTCACAGCAACCTAAGCCTCCCAGGATCAAACGATTCTCCTGCCTCAGCCTCCTGAGTAGCTGGGATTATAGGTGCCCACCACCATGCCCATCTAATTTTTGTATTTTTTTTTCTTTTTGCTTTAATTTTTGTATTTTTTAATAGATACGGGGTTTCACCATGTTGGCCAGGCTAGTCTCGACCTCCTGACCTCGTGATCTGCCTGCCTCAGCCTCGCAAAGTGCTGAGATTACAAGTGTGAGCCACTGCACCCAGCCTATCTGTGATTTTTTTGTTTGACATTATTGATAATGTAAACTTTGGGAGTTAAAAGTGCAGGGAGAATCGCTAATAGGTCACGGGTTTTTTTCAAGTATTGAAACAGATTCCCAGAATATTGGCAAAGTCTCTAGGTGTCTGATAAGTAGAGATGAACTTAGACTGAAAATCTTGGCATCCCTCCCTCCACAGTTTTCACAAGAAATCTTCATTTTGACTCATTATTACTCACCACTTTGCTTACGTTGTATCCATCTTGTTAACAAAATAGCCAGGATGGCAAGTCCCAGTAGAGTCAGGATGATAGCCAAAGTTATTTCTGAAAACAAAAACTCACCTGTAGATAAGCTTATTTAGACCAGGTAATTACCAGAAACAACCCCTGATCACCTCTTACTATCCACCAGATACACTTTTCCCCCCTTTCTGCTACTTCAACTCTTTTATTCTTTTATTTGCTTTATATTACTATCTTCACATTCCTGCCCATGCCCATTTTTAGCTCTTATGTTGGTTCTTTGGTCATATACTAAGAACCTCAGATACTGTGTACCCTTGGTTTAGAGTTGGCAATCTAACAGATTTCCTCATCAACTGAACCCTTTACTCCCCAGGCAGGAAGAATGTTGAAGGGAATCCACAAAGCTACCCACTGGGGTATCAGGGGAGAATATTAGAACTTCTAGATTTTGTGTAATTTAAACTCATACATTTAAAGTTGCAAGGTTTTCTGTATATATGTGTGTGTGTGTGTATATATATACACACACACACACACACACACACACACACACACACGTATAGCTATAAATTTATAACATTTATAAATATACTTGTATAGGGAATGCATGCTCAAAACATTTTCATGAGTGAATTATTGAAAAACTTTCAGCACCCTGACTGAAGGATGCTGTCTGAAGGTGGTTTTATTAATGAAAGCCGCAGCAAAGGACAGAAATTTCTTATCACAGAAAAACCTTTCAGTCATCACTCACCATGCCCCTCATAAGACAGATATTTGTGAGCTTTTTATTGTGGTTGGTCAGATAAAACATGCTGGGATTCCTTAACTTGTGTTTGTTTATGTGTCATTAATTTGCATTCAATTGATGTAAGATAGAGTCTTGCAGTTATAGTAGAGAAAAATCATAGACAATATCATATGGTTGTAAAAGGCAGTGGATATGAAGGATCTGGAAGAGGAAAAAATGAAGAGAGAGAGAGAGAGAGAGAGAGAGAGAGAGAGACAGAGAGAGAGAGAGAGAGAGAGAGAGAGAGAAAGGAAAGAAGAAAAAAACCAACCAATCTGCTGGTGAAAGTAAAATCTCTGAAGAATATTGAGCTCTGAAAGACTAAGGAAATAGATTACGCCCAGATTAAGACTGCTTCAAACAAACAATAGGTGAATCCACCTCAAGAGGTAAGAGCAAACCTCCAATCAGGACAGATCAGGCACTTGTCTACTGAGTCTTCTAGGTGTTTGGTCCTGTGAGAAAATTCTCCAAATCAACTTTTGTAGATATTCTCCTAATGTGCCACTAAAATGAACAGCAAGCAGTCAATATGGACTCCATCATGTGAGTCAGATTTTTTTCCTAGTGTTAAATAACCCATAGGGGAGGGAAGGATGACCAGATGGTATACTCAGAACTACTGTATACTACTGTATACTATACCCTTTCTTCCTCTGGTGTCTGAAATGCCATCTATAGGGCGGTTAGAAGATGGCCCATCCCATTTACAGGGAAAATAAGAGGAAATCATTATTTCTGAGTTGAGGCAGATTGATCATATGATAGGAAGGGAGATAATGGGAGAAGAAATTTTCCTAGTGCTATGGAGGATGGTTATTTTCTTTGTTCAATTTAAACTCTAGATACCAAAGGAGAAACCACCACTATCAGCCTAGAGCTTAGTTAACTGTGGGTTGTTTGCCCCAGGCTTCTAGAGGAATCAATGAGAGTGAAAGAAAAAATACTGAATTTGAAAGGAGCAGGTAAGGAAGATAAAGCAGTTGTGCTAAAGTCCCTAAGAGGAGACTCCTGAGCCATTAGAGTCAAGGAAGCCTCAAAGATGGAGCTAGTCCATACCCAAGACTATCATTTTCCAGGTATTGTCTTCAGCGGGTCTCGCATCGTCTGGATTTCTTCGTCAGAGAGAGCTCAAGATAAAATGAATAACTCAAGTTCACTGTTTCTGAGCAGTATGAACTTGGGTGTCAGGGAGGCCCTTTTAGGCGGAGATGCAGAGGAGCACTGAGAAATTGTGTGGAGCAGATTGATCAGACCTATGCATTTATGGGAGTGTGGCCTGTGAAGGTTCTGGAATCTGTGTCATAACAGAGGCTTAGAACATCAGAGAGGCAGGAGAGAAGGCAGAGGAGGATCAAGAGGCTAGGAAGATTTAAGGATAAAAGGGAACTCACTCTATCTGGGCTTTAGAATTATTTCTACTTTTTCAGAGATTTTAAGGCCAGAGATTGTATACCATTAATCTTTGTAATTCTTGAGGCAGAGAACCTTCCACAGAATAGGTACTTTATAAATGTTTGATAATTAAAAATGAGAAAAATGTCTATATTTAAAAAGAGGTAGACTGCATAAATAAAAAGCGGTACATATACACCATGGAATACTACACAGTCATAAAAAAGAATGAGATCGTGCTTTCGCAGCAACATGGATGGGGTTGGAGACCACTATCCCAAGCAAACTGAAGCAGGAACGGAAAACCAAATACCATATGTTCTCGCTTACAAGTGGAAGCTAAACAACAAGAACACACGGACACTAAGAGGGGCACAGCAGACACCGGGGCTACTTGAGGATGGAGGCCAGGAGGAGGGAGAAAAAATATCACTTGGGTGCTATGCTCATTACCCAGGTGACTGAAGAATCTGTTCACTAACCCCCCACAACATGCAATTTACCTGTATAACAAACAATTACATGTACCCTTAAACCTAAAAGTTAAAAAAAGAAGGGCCTTGAAACAAATGAAGGTGAACAAAGAAGTCAAGCGTTGGGGTTAGACAGCAAGAAGGAACCCAGTCCAGAGGTCTGTGGTGCTAGGAAGAGTGAGCCAGTACATGGGATTTCATAAGCCACTGCGGAGAACAGGGAGAGTAACAAACACTTTTACGGAGTGTCTATTGACTACGAGGCTCTAAAGTGGGTACCTTGTAAGCATAAACTTGTTTAATCCTCAATAAACTTTACAAAATTCTTAAAGATGGAGAGAGACACTAGGAGTTACCTAGCCAACAAATGGCAGAGTTTCTGACTCTAAAGCCTGTACTATATTCACAAAGCCACATTTTGTTTCAGTCTTATATGCATCATGTGGTGGTGATTTCTGGGGTAAGAAGTCAGTCACTTGAAGAGGAAAGTGATGCCTTCTAGTTTTAGGATGCTCTACCTGCCAAAAATAATTCTCAAAATTTTTGAGATTATTTTTCCATAAGTTACATACAAATATATAAATTATGGAAGTACCAGAAGAAGAGAAAGGGGAAGGAGCAGAAAGCTTAATCAATGGAATATCATCTGAAAATATTCCAAATCCTGAGAGAGACATGAACATCCAGACTGAAGAAGATTAAAGCATCTCAAGCAAGTTCAGTTAAAAAAAGACACACTCCAAGATACATTATAATCAAATTGTCAAAGGTCAAAGACAAAGAGAGGATTCTGAAAGAAACATCACATATAAGAGATCTCCCATAAGCCCATTAGCAGACTTCTCAATGGAAACCTTGCAAGTCAGGAGGGAGTGGGGTTACATACTTAAAGTGCTAAAAGAAAAAGAAATACCAATCATGAATGCTATACTTGGCAAAGCTATCTGTGAGAAATGAAGGAGAGATAAAGAGATAAAGACATTTAAAGACAAAAGTTGAAGGCGTTCATCACCATGAGACTAGCTTTCAAGAAATGTTAAAGGGAGTTCTTGGAGTTGACACAAAAAGATAATAAGTAACAACATAAAAACAGAAAAAGTATAAAACCCAGTGGTAAATGTATATATGTATATATGTATATGTGTGTGCATATGTCTCTTATGAGACATTCCCTTCCCATGCACAACAGCCTCAGGGCTCCCTCCTCCCTGCTGCTGCTTCCTCATGGTAACACCTGTTTTATTGGTAAGTTTAAAACAGTGAATTTATTTTAAATTTATGCATTCATATAAGATATCCTTATATGACTGTAATAGTTGGTTCTTTCTTAGCATCTCTGAACAGGTTAAAACACACTGGAAACACATTTTCATGTGCTTAGCTAATACTCTTAGGCTTATGTACTTGCAGTACACTTTGCAAATAGAGGACAATCGCCTGTAGAACTCATATCAGCATTGCTGGGACTTACACGTTCTGTGCGGATATTCACTTCTCACATTCCTCCGCATTTTCTTCCTACACCCACACAAAACTGTCTGTCCACTTTTCAACAGTTACACTTTTACTTCTATATTGTTATGGATATTAATATTGATATTCTTTCCTGAAATGACAAGAGTCTTACCTTTTGCTCGTTGGTCATCTGTAAAATCTGAATACTGGCAGAGAACACATATTAAATGATTATATCAAAATTTCTTGACGGAAAATATTCCTGGTACTAGACCAAATGATGTATCTGTTCTTATACTTTAGCAATTGCATAAAATCATGCCCCATACTTCTTTAAAACACCTTAATTTATGTCATGGTATTTTCTCTTCCTACTCTGCACGTAGTTTATCCAGGATAATTGTTTTCTCTGAGTCGTCTATACTCACCCCATAGACAGTTGTCATTTGCGGGTTCCCACCCTCTCTAAACACGCTGCCTGCTATTGTTATTTTTCCACATTACGAGCTCTCTGCTCCAAGCTGATTGCAGACAGTGGCAGAGCAGGAGTATCTTCACTAAAGAACTCTCACAATGTTTAGGAGTATTATTACAGCTTAAGTAAGTGTCAGAGTATAGCTTTCTGCTCCAGGATTTAATGAGGCATTTCCTGGGCATTTTCCAGAGATGTGTCATCTTCTGGAAATTTTATTTTGAAGCTAGGAGACCAGAAAGATACAGGGAGGAAGGAGGAGAGTATTCCTGTAGTACATAAGATGTGTTCTTCGCATTATTTCCCATGTGATTTTGTGGTTGTTGCTGTTTTTGACTGAAGAAAGGTTCGAAGCAGGTGAGTTACCTTATTATTTCGTCCCACATAATCTCTTCCATACACATGGGAAAATTTTGCATTTGTTTATTGGTTATTCATTCCATGGTTTTCATTCTCTGTCTATTTCACGTTGGAATGTTAGCACATTTTTTATGTTCTGAGAGCATTCATTCATTCAGCAAAAATATGTGCAAGCATTTATTCAATGTCAAATAAGTAAAGCAGATCAGACTTCTGGCTTTATGGGAAAGTGCACATACAAATTATGATAAATGTTATGAAGGAATAAGAGATCGCCACGAGACAAAATAGTGTATTCAAAGAATTCCCCCAAAGAGGTGATACTTAAGCTGAGACTTGAGCAACATGGTGGATGTATTCATGTGAATAACGTTGTAAGATAATTTGGTCAGAAGGAAGTCTATTGTTTAACCAGCCTGAGATGGAGAAGAGCTTGTTGCATCTCAGTGAAGTGAAAACCTTTCTAGAATTGTGGGTTATCAATTTCTAATACATGTCACTTTACTCTAAATAGCCCCACACCTACAAACATTTCCTAATTAATTTAATCCTCCTCAAATTCAAACATATTCTAATTTACAAATACAAATTCTGATGAGAAAAATTTTAATTACTGAGGATGTTTGGTTTGAAAAGATTTATTACTACCAGTATTAGCACTATTGCTATGAAAATGAACCAAGTATTCATCATGGAGAAATCATAGTATTACGTTCTGTGTATACTATCTCATTTATTTCTCATGATAGTCCTGAGTATTATAATTATTTGCATCATTATGAGAATTAAGTGTGCCTGAAAGAAGGAAGATAATGTCACCAAGATCAGAGCTATTAAGGAAAGAGCAATTATCAAGATTCAGATCTTTTTGACTACAAGGCCTGGGATTTCAATCACTAGAAATATAATAAAGGTGTATGAGAAGTGGATGGCCCACTTATTACGTAAACCCACAGAAAATGAAAACGAAGAGGCTCAAATGACAGTGGACACACCATGACTGGAGATATTATAAGATTTAATTTTAAGAACAAGCAATAAAGTAACAGGAATTTGAAGAGCAGGGAGGACTCCATCCTGAAATCCTGACCCTGGAAGATTTTCAGATGTGACAGTCATCCTGGCCAGACAGTCCCAGTCTGTCTGGGATAGATGGTTACTGAAGATTCTGTCCAACCCTAGCCTTCTAGGCCTTACACATCTTGTGTCTCCTAGGATGGAACACAGTTTGACCTAACCATTCACTTTTCTCCTTCTTGTTTTTCTCCACCTGCCTTCCCAGTATTTGCAGCTTTCCCCCTTTCTTCCAACTATATGTGCAGTGGCTGTATCTCTCGATCCAGATGCAGCTCATCCTGACCTCATCCTATCTGAGGGTAGAAGATACATTTCTTCAATAAAGAATGTTCTTCGGAACTGTAAGACCCTCCCCACACTAAGGACAAGGGGAATCTGAAACTTCAGTTTTCTGGGTTTACCGCAGGGGAGACAGACATTACTGGGAGGTAGAAGTAAATAATGGGAACAGAAGTTGGACCAGGAACAAGATGAACTCTGGGTGTTTGTTCAGCACGATGAAGAGAGAGGGGTGGTTTGTAGAAAGTCCAGAGAAGAATTTCTGCATGGTGGCATGTGAAGAAGGAAGGGTCATGGCTCTAACTTCCTGCCCAGAGACTCTGTCAGGAGCCTCCCCTATCTCCCCATAGGATAGAAGAAGGTTTCCAGGACAGCAAGGCTGGAGATGTGTCCTTTTACCACAAAGTTGATCATTCCCACATCTATTCCCTTACTGGAATCACCTGTGGGATTTTCCATCCTAATTCTAGCCTTCAGGGTGCCCACACATCTGTGTTCTTCTGCTTAGATCATGGTGAAAATGGTCCTGATTCTTTTCCAGTTACCTCTGTAATTTCTTTAATGAGTCGTGATAGAGTTGTTGCCCAGGAAGCTAACTTTCTGTTAGCATAATAGGCAGCAAAGTGTTGGCACCGCTGTGTCTCCACTGGAGTGTCTTCTAGGTACATCGTCAGGAAAGCTGTCCTTGGATGGTGAGTAAGTCAATATCACTGGGTGTGATTTCAGCCTCTATCAGAGGGAGAGTCAGAAAGTGAAATGAGCGAACTGGAAAATGTCCAGGGAGATTTCCTCCAGTGCTACCATTGGGGAAATACAGACTCTTTGAGGGCAGCAACAATTTCTCACAAGAAAACTCCAGATAAGTGCATGGGTTTCTCATCTAAATTCCATGCTGAATATGTGTCGAAGTAAATAATTTTAAAGCTACATTTACAGGGAAGATCTCTTCTTACTGTTTTTGTTATCCAATATGGAGGAGGGTGGCGTTTGAAGGGAACTATTGCAATAGAGTGAATTCTCACTTCCTTTACCACTGTTGGAGACACACAGGAATCTGTTCAAGTCCTTAAATAGCTCAGTGTGTTTGCTCCTCAAGCTCTAGTGTAACATCACTTCCTAATCTTGGATTTTGTCAAGGGAGAGGGAAGGCTCATGTATAACTGTAAATCACTGGAGGAGGAGCCCAAGCCTTCTGGAAGGAAAGAGCCATTTTCTTTTACAAGTTCTCACTGGTCAGCAAGTCCAGAATTGCATCCTACATGAGAATGTGAATGAAAGAGGAGTCAGTGTTGCAGTTTATACTTTAGGAGAGAAAGCAGGAAAGTAGAAATAAAGAAACATCTGTAGCAAGTCATTGCTAAGGTTAGATTTTTTTTTTTTTTTTTTTTTTTTGAGATGGAGTCCCTCTCAGTTGCCCAGGCTGGAGTGCAATGGTGCAAAGTTGGCTCACTGCAACCTCTAACTCCCGGGTTTAAGCAATTCTTTTGCGTCAGCCTCCTAAGTAGCTGGAATTACAGGTGACCACCACAATGCCTGGCTGATTTTTTTTTGTATTTTTAGTAGAGATGGGGTTTCTCCCTGTTGGCCAGGCTGGTCTTGAACTCCTGACCTCAGGTGATCTGCCCACCTCAGCCTCCCAAATTGCTGGAATTACAGGTATGAGCCACCGCACCCGGCCAGCATTCTTCTTCTTCCTCACCTGTTCTACCCACTGTTGAGGGTTTTCCTTGTCATTACTGCATCTAAGACTTTTCCAGCTGTTTATCACCAAGTTTGTCTTCAAAGATATAGAATATGAGTTTCTTCAGGTTTTTTTTTTTTTTTTTTGACAAAGTCTCTCTCTGTTTCCAGGCTGGAGTGCACTGGCACGATCTCGCCTCACTGCAACCTCCGTCTCCCACGATCAAGGAATTCTCCTGCCCCAGCCTCCTGAGCAGCTGGGACTACAGGTGCACACCACCACGCCCAGCTAATTTTTGTATTTTTAGTAGAGACGGGGTTTCACCATGTTGGCTTGGGTGGTCTTGATCTCTTGACCTCGTGATCCACCTGCCTCAGCCTCCCAAAGTGCTGGGATTATAGGTGTGAGCCACCCCCTGAGGCCGAGCTTCTTCTGTTGAATCCTTTCTTCCTGATGATGGAAGAGATCCCCTTAGATTTTTTTCTACAGTATCTGCAGGTCTGTAAACCACAAGACCTTCTAAACAAACTCTCCTGCAAGCTGTATCTCCTTGGTAAAATTTCCCGGCACATACTAAGTGGCAAAGCCAGTATTTGAAGCCAGGAAGAATCAGCCCAGAGCCTAGTCCTAATTTCACTGACCCTAAAGGGAGACTTACATATTCATCAAGAAATGATCAAGGCAGGACAGAGGTAAATAAATAGTGATAAAATATTAATCGTTATAATCGAATAGACATGGTGGATGAGGAGGGACTTCTGGACATGTGAACCCTAAACATGGGGTAACAACAAAACAGGAGCAGATGGGGTGGAACTGTGATATAGAACAAGAAACGTAACAGGTTCAGCCTTAGATATTTTACTTCTTATACACTTAGGGCATTCAGTATGAGGCGCAAGAGGAGTTTTTACCATCTCTTCTTCAGAGTCTAAATTCATATTTTTTCCTACAGCAAGATTTGCCCACTTGTCACTTCTTTACTCATTTTAATGGGTGTTTGTCCTTCTAAGCTTAGGGACTGGGGAGCAGTGGCTGGTGGGAGACAGGGTAGAAAATGGATGAAGGTAGGTGGTCTGTTGGACTCAGAGCTTCAGGAATGTCAGGTATGACAGTGTTTATCTTATTTTCATTTGCAGCTTTGAGCAAATCAATAAGTAGTGTAGGGTCTCCAAGTAGCCTATCCTTTCTGGAAAAGTGAATTCACCACGTGGCTACATCAGTTAATTCTTTACTGCTGGACTACTTCGGTACTAGGGTTTTTAGTAAAGTTTATGCAGGTATAAACTTTCCATTTCACAGACATTCCAAAAACAAAGTGACTCTACTGTCACAAAAAGAAAGACCTGAGGGAGGGACTAGGTCTTATTAAGGATTGCAGCTCCAGGCCCTAGCACAGCACATGCAACAGGTAAGATATTCAATAAATATCACTTTATGACACAATTCGTGCATTTTACAAATGTTTATTGATCAATCAATATGTGTCACTTTTATAGCTTGTGGGGCTAGGCAAAAAAGAAGAAAAAAATTACTGTCCTCATGGAAGTTAAATTGTACTGACAAAGGAGGAAAGTGTCAGGCAGGTTAACAATTTAGTCTCTGTGGCTTCCCCACCTCCCCCCCGCCCCATTCTCTCCCTGAAACTGAGATCCAGCCAATCTGGACATCTAATCTGAGAGCGGCTCCGCTTTAATGACTACACCCAGGTGTCTATACACCAGGAGGGGAGGGAACTGCATCCTGAGGCACCAGCCCAATTACCCACCCATCAGCCATAGGGACTTCCGGTAACTGGGGCATCATCCTCACGCCACCAACCCCTCTCCTTCCTGTGGCTTTTCCAACTGGAATTGGAACTCAGAAGGTAAATTAATCACCAATTTCGGAAGCTATAGGAAAGTATGTTTTTTAATATACAGTGAGAGAACGTGACTGATAAAAAACAATTTTCATGAGACTTTTCCCCGGAAAATGAATTTATTTATTCACAGGGCCTTCACAAGCACAGACTAACAAGCAAAGAGCTACATTAACTAGGAAAGAAGACTCAAAAGTAAGTGAAAAATAATAGTTAACCTTTAGATGTTGTGCAATAAATTATTTTAAATTACATTAAATCAAAATAATGTTTAAAATGTTTTCAAGTAAACCTTATATATTTACTAATAAATTTAAGTCTTCATAAAGATATATCAATGTAAATGTAAAAATCATTTGTTAAACTCCAGAGACTACATAACACAAAAAGTGAACCTAATGTAAACTGTGGACTTTAGTTGAAAATAATGTGTCACTATTCTTTCAAGGGTTGTAACAAATGTGCCAGACCAATGTAAGATGTTAGTAACGGGAAATATGGGGAGTGAGAGGAGGGACATAGCTATCTGGATTTTCCATTTTATTTGGTTATAAATCTCAAACTGTTCTTAAAAATAATGTCTGTTAATTTTTTTGAAAAAGGAATGAAGGACTGGTACATGCTATGACATGGAAGAACTTTAAAAATATTAGGTTGAGTGAAAGATGCCACAAACATATACACATACACACACACACAGACAGATATTTTATGATTCCATTTATATAAAATATTCAGAAGAGAAAAGTTCATAGGGACAGAACGCAGATTACCTGGGAGTCGGGGGTGAAAAATGGGTAGTAACTGTTTCATGAGTATGGAGTTTCCTTTAGGGTGATGAAAATATTCTGGAACTAGAAAGTGATGATAATGATCACACAATCATGTAACATACAAAATACCACAGAAGTGTACACTTTAAAATGGTTAAGGGTAAGTTTTATGTTCTGTGTATTTTACCACAATTGAAAAAAATGTTTAATAAAATAAATGTGTACATTTGTGGAAGAAGAAGGCAGAGTTTCCAACATTTATGAGTTTAAATTTATGAGTTTAAAAATAGAATAAAAAATGATGGCCCAGAAGAGCAAGTCCAGAGTGCTGTACGTGAGTGATCCACAGGACTGCGATGCCTGTGTGGGGTCTGCTGTCCTGGGAAGCCAGAGTGCCACCGGCAGGCATTCTTCTTCTCACCTCAAAACATTCTTTCCAAGGGTCTTTCTCGTTGACCTTCTTCCTTTTTCCACATATAGTTTATGTTCTTGAAACACGACTTTAAAATATTTTTACTGTGTTACATGTACTGCTTGTATGTGTTTATTTTGTAATTATTAATTCTAAATTGTGCACTTTATTTTGTTCTAACAATAAAATTGACATGTTCATATAGATGATACATAATGTTTCTCCTGGATTGGAAAGTCTAAAATTTTTTCCTAACTCCATTTCTTGTATTAACTTTCTCAAAAAATCTGGAGTAGGGATTTTACACTTTATAAGATTTCCAAAATTATATTTTAATGATCAGATTTTTCTCCCTCTTAAGCAGCTGTATTTTTACTCACTTTTTAAAACTGTATTTAAAAAAATTTTTATCTCAGTTCCACCTATGTGAACAATTAATTGTCACTATCTTAAAGAAATTGATCAGGCCAGGGGCGGCGGCCCATGCCTGTAATCCCAGCACTGTGGGAGGCTGAGGCAAGTGGATCACTTGAGGCCAGGAGTTTGAGACCAGCCTGGCCAAGAAAGTGAAACTCCATCTCTACTAAAAATACAAAAATAGTCTGGGCGTGGTTGCACACGCCTGTAATCCGAGCTACTCTTGAGACTGAGGCAAGAGAATTGCTTGAACCTGGGAGGTGGAGGTTGCAGTGAGCCAAGATCACGCCACTGCACTCCAGCCTGGGTGATAACAGCAAGACTCTGTCTCAGAAAAAAAAAAAGAAAAAGAAAAAGAAAAAGAAAAAGAAAAAGAAAAAAAGGAACTGATCAAATTCTTGATTATTTCTTTCATTTCTTCCCATAGGCTAAATTGTATTTCTCATGGAATTTTCTAAGGGTCCTTGATTATCAGATGTCAGATTGCGATTGGTAGGCTGAATCCCAGAGAACATGGGACAGAATAGGTCTCTGAAGGGATCAGTCTCTAGCAGATTTTCCTGAGTAGAATTAAAGCACCCTTGACTTGGTATGCTGATGATCATGGGAGCCCCCTTCAAGCAGTTAGAGAAAGGAGAAAGTGATTAGGACTCAGAATATCATCTTGGTTTCCAGAATCCCAGATTGTTATTTTCCTTGGATATGTTGGAGATGTTCTTGTGGGTACAAAAAAAATGTCCAGAGAACCTACATTAGGGAACCAAAGAATGAAGAGGGCTGTGGAGTCCCAGAGAAGGAAGTTTTCGGGAAGGTGTAGATGGGGCACTTGCCGATCACATTATAAGAGAAGAGGTATTCAGAGGCAAGGTCAGGGGGATTGACTTGTTCAGGGGCCACCTTCAAGGAGAGGAGGCTTGGAAGAGAGGTGATGGCCCAGTACTTCTTTCTTTTGCAATCCTTTGCCTAAAACTCACTATCAGGTGACACAGAGATGACTCCTTTCATTGCAACATGTGCTTGGCAACTTTCGGGACCCATTGCACCCTGTCCCTGGCCTCCACCTCTCAGTACCAGCTCCCTGACAGGAGTTCCGGCTGCCCCATAGAGCAGACAGTCAGATCTCTGTGGGATGTCTGGCTGCCCGAATGTCCATGGATCACACTCTTGTTTTGTTCAGGAGAAATCAGTTTCAGATGAGCTGTATTTGAAGCCAGTGTCACATTCACTGCAAAGAAAGAGAATCCATTCTGATAATTAATCAATATAACTTCATGCTATTAACAGCCAAACAGGAACACAAGTGTTTCACGGACATCAGATATTAAAAGTGGAAGCCCTTTCTAGAGCACCCAAAGCAGCCTCCCTAACAGATGAGAAATCACTAGCAAAACAGAAATCACCAACAAGGAGGTCACCACATTTTTAAAGATCATAGGACAATGTTCATGCCAACAAGTCTCAGTGAACACCAGCTCTCAGCCTCAAAAACAAGGATGGCTATACCACTAACTTTTTCCATCTTCCTCCTTAGCTGGATCACTGGGAAATGGGCAGCAGGGGATCAAATCATTATCTTTTAATCCTTTTGCTTCTGTTACAAGTGGAAACTCTGACCTCATTCATCACTTAGCCTGTAATGCATAATAAGCCCTGTGCTTTCCTGTTTCTCACATTTCCTTAGTTACTGAATAGTCACTGAACGTCTCCCATGGGTGACTTCTGAAAAGGGAGGCCCGGGGAAGTGCGCAGTACGGTTCCCACTGCATGTGCTCTGCTGTTTCTGTTTCCGTGACTTACCTCTTTCAGCTCCTCCTCCTGAGCAGGCCCACAGCCACAGCAAGAAGCAATCCCAAAATAAGCAGTGTCTTCCATAAAAAAGTCATCCTGGACTCTAAAATGGAAACCCAAGAATCCCATGAAACTGAAACAGAAACAAAATCAAAATTGTGCTTTTCATCTGAGCAGCTTCTAGGCTGGAGAGAAGGGAGAGAACTGGGCATCTCAGGAGGCAGTTGGCCTGTTCCTCCCTGCTCTGGAGATGCAGAGGAGAGACTGGAAATATTTGTATTTGCTCGTCTCAGAAATGCACACATGCGGCCGGGCGCGGTGGCTCAAGCCTGTAATCCCAGCACTTTGGGAGGCCGAGGCGGGTGGATCACGAGGTCGAGAGATCGAGACCATCCAGGTCAACATGGTGAAACCCCGTCTCTACTAAAAATACAAAAAATTAGCTGGGCATGGTGGCGCGTGCCTGTAATCCCAGCTACTCAGGAGGCTGAGGCAGGAGAATTGCCTGAACCCAGGAGGCGGAGGTTGCGGTGAGCCGAGATCGCGCCATTGCACTCCAGCCTGGGTAACAAGAGCGAGACTCTGTCTCAAAAAAAAAAAAAAAAAAAAAAAAGAAATGCACACACGCACAGACAAGTTGTCTTCCTTCTCTCTTCCAGCTACATCACACAATCACTGGAATGACTTGGGGGGAGAAGGATAAAATTACTGAAGCCGTAACTATGAAGATGGTGCTAATGAAAATCAGTTTCTAACTCAGAAGAAAATCTCCCGTGAGGGGAAAACCACAAAGTGTTGTAATTGTTTTCACATCAGAAGAAAAGAATTTAGAGAGAGTGAAGACAGGTTCAATTATGAGAATTTAGTGTGTATCCAATGATAAATATAATTGCAGGGCTCTAGTTCAGGGTGTCGGGGAGAAACTCAGAGGAGTACAATCCCTGGGTGTCCTGAAAACCAGCTTTGCAGAAGAGAGCAGGAGACCTCGTCAGAGAGAAGCAAATAAAAATCAAAAAGGAAGAAGAGTGAGTAGGTCTGAGTTGGTCTTCATATTTATTTTCCAAACCTGAAGGAACATACGGAATCACCAACCTGAGAGAGAAAAAGTTGCTCTTTTCTCCTCGCCCAAAAAGGGGATGCTGATGGAACAAGTGACGTTCACAGTGGAGTTGTTTGTGACCCATAGCAATGTCTCCACGTGGAACAGCCCATGGCTGCCTTGAGTCAGGGCCTCGGAAGATGATGGTATCGTCTTTCCTTGCATGTCCCTCCACTCTACGTGGGGCTGTGGGAACCAGCCATCTGAAGAGCACATCAGCTGCATTTCTCCATCTTTTCGCCCTTCCACAGTGATCAGTGGGGAAGAACCCAGACCTGGGGACAGAGAAAAAGAAACCGAAGCAAAGAGTCCTTTCAAGTGGCTGAGTGGAAAGCAATTTCCCTGGGAGAAAAGATGGTGGTGTGGGGGCTTGGAGAAGGGAGAAAAGCTTAAGGGGGAGGGATGAGGCTGGCTGGAGCATTTTCCTATTTTGTTTGTTTGCTTATTTTTATGTTTTGTATACTTAAATCATTCTGGGATGATTAAGAAGTAGGGTAAGTTTTCAAATCCAACATTTATTCTGTCCCTGAGAACAAAATAACTTTTTGGGTCACATGGACAGGATTAAAATATTGAGTAGGAGGATATTCTTAAAAATTGAAACCTTATAAATGTCTATGTCCAGTGGCAGAAAACATGAGGCTCGTGTAATTTCTCAACATGCATTCCTGTGGCTATTTCCTAAACATGTTTATTAATTTAGAATCAAAATCCATGGGATAAACACGTGGCATGTCCAAGACTTCAGCCTATATGTGCTCAGTGGCATCTGCTAACACTGGACGTGTCAATTCTCACACATATAGACAGTGGAAATGATGCTGCAGGGAATGACTTCATCTTTCCTCCCCTGTCCCTGCCAAAGCTGTCAATCTTTATAATTTTTGCTTACACAGTGGCTCCAGTTTAGTCTTCAAATAACTACACTTTCTAGAATTTTATCACATTTCCCCAAATTCTAATAACACACTGTAAAACAATGAATCTTTTGTGAAATATGTAGTGAAATACTCAGATTTCCTTAAAGATATGGTCAATTTTTGAAGATACTGGAAAAGATACAAGTTCTATACCAAAATAATTAAATTTCATCCATTTGACTTGTGGATTTTAAGTAACTACGACAGTTCCACACACTAGAGGATTTGATATAAATTTGATGATAGAGAGAGATCCAAGATGGCTGATCACTAGCAGCTCGGGATTGTAGCTCCCACTGAAAACGCAAAGAACGAGAGGACGCCACACCTTCACATGAATTCTTGTTGCTCACACACCAGGAGATTCCCAGCGGAGGAGCCCCACGGGTCGCCAGCGCACTCTTGTGACTGGCGAGGCGGTTTTGCCGGCGCCTCAGAACGTCGGTTCTTGGTGCAGAGTCAGAAAAGCACCATCAATCTTAACGCCGCTGATTTGGTCGGCGCAGTGGGTTGCTCAGATTTCGGCGCTGAGAATCAATAAGTTGGACGTCCACTCAGAAACCCAATTACAAAGACGGTAATTACAAAGACTACAGATGGATAAATCTACAATGAAGGGAAGAAAACAGTCAAAAAAGGCTGCGAACACCCAAGATCAAAACGCCTCTTCCTCAGCAGGGGATCCCAGTTCCTCATCAGCAACGAAACAAGGCTTGATGGAGAACGAGTGTGTTCCAATTACAGAAGCAGGCTTCAAAACGTGGATAATAAGAAACTTCTGTGAATTAAAAGAACTTGTTCTAACACAATCTAAAGAAACTAAGAACTTTGAAAAAAGGTTTGATGAAATGTCAACAAGAATACAAAATTTAGAGAGGAAAATAAGTGAATTGATGGAACTGAAAAACACAATACGAGAACTACGTGAAGTATGCACAAGTTTTAACAGCCGAATTGATCAAGCAAACGAAAGGATATCAGAGGTTGAAGACCAACTCAATGAAATAAAACAAGAAGACAAGATTAGAGAAAAAAGGATAAAAAGGAACGAGCAAAGTCTCCAAGAAATATGGGACTATGTGAAAAGACCTAATCTACGCTTGATAGGTGTACCTGAATGTGATGAAGAGAACGAATCCAAGCTGGAAAATATGCTTCAGGATATTATTCAGGAAAATTTTCCCAACTTAGTAAGGCAGGATAATATTCAACTCCAGGTAATACAGAGAACACCACAAAGATATTCCTCAAGAAGAGCAACTCCAAGGCACGTAATTGTCAGATTCACCAGGGTTGAAATGAAGGAGAAAATACTAAGGGCAGCCAGAGAGAAAGGTCAGGTTACCCACAAAGGGAAGCCTATCAGACTCACAGCAGATCTCTCAGCAGAAACCCTACAAGCCAGAAGAGAGTGGGGACCAATATTCAACATCCTTAAAGAAAAGAACTTTCAACCAAGAATTTCACATCCAGCCAAACGAAGCTTCATAAGTGAAGGAAAAATAAAGTTTTTTGTGAACAAGCAAGCACTCAGAGAATTCATCACCACCAGGCCTGCTTTACAAGAGCTTCTGAAAGAACCACTACACATAGAAAGGAACAAACAGTATCAGCCTTTCTAAAAAATACCAAAAAGTAAAGAATATCGATATAATGAAGAATTTACATCGACTAATGGGCAAAATAGCCAGCTAATATTAAATGACAGTATTAAACTCACATATATCATTATTAATTCTAAATTCAAATTGACTAAATTCCTCAATTCAAAGACAGGCAATTTGGACAAAAAACTAAAACTGTATGCTGCATCCAGACCCATCTCACATTCAAGGATACACAAAGACTCAAAACAAAGGATGGAGAGAGACTTACCAACCAACCAGAGAGCAAAAATAAATAAATAAAAAGCAGAAGTTACAATTTTTGCCTCTGATAAAATAGTATTTAAAGCAACAAAGATCAAAACAAGCAAAGAAGGACATTATATAATGATAAAAGAATCAATGCAACAACAAGAAGAGTTAAAGGTCCTAAATATACATGCACCCAATACAGGAATACCCAGAATACAAGACTTATAAAGAGACTTAGACTCCCACACAATAATAGTGGGAGACTTCAACATTAATATTAGACAGATCAATGAGACAGAAAATTAACAATGATATCCAGGACTTGAACTCAGATCTGGAACAAGTAAACGTAATTAACATTTATAGAACTCTCCACTTTACACAAAATATACACTCTTATCAGTACCACATCATATCAACTTAGAAGTTTAAACGAAATGTTGGTTGGCTCCTTGTTTGTTACTCTCTTCCCTCATTTTCTTTCATGTCTCCATCATTAAGGACAATTATAGGCATACCCATATTTAGACTGCATTCTAGCCTGGGCAGAAAGCAATACCCCCATTCTCTCTCCCTCTTCCTCTTTCTCTTTCTTCCTCTTTATTCTTTTTCTTATTATTCTTTTTCTCAAAAAAAAAAAAAAGAGAAGTAAATAAAAATCTATGCATGGGGCAGTGATATCTCTGGGTTCCTTTTCCTACTCATGAAATAGACAGATTTGGCCTGTGCCCCTTCCCCACACCAATCAAGAAAAAAAAAAAATTGATGATAAATGAGCATTAAGAAAATTTCAAATGTCAGAGAAATTGTCCAGGAACTAGCATATTAAAGGGGTAGGAGCAGGTATTGAATACAAAATATCTATCTAGACTTCTTACCTACCACCTTCAGATCCAAACTGGCCTCCTGGTAGACATCATCTTTTTCAAAAAGGCAGCGGTACCGCCCGTCGTCTGAAGGTCTGGCACTGAGTATCTGCAGGGTCAGTCTGCCCTCGTCGATGGTGTCACTCACCAGCACAGTCCTCCCTCTGTACTCCGCCATCTGCTCTCCAGCTACATGGTCCCCATCCTTATACACATGCACAGCAGGGTAACGGTGGGATCGGACCCACCTCACCTCCATGCTCCATGCATTTGCCTTGGGGGACAGGTAACAGGTTAGCTGTATATCTTCTCCCACTCTGACAAGGATGGGCTGGGAAGGTCCAATTACTTTTAAAGAAGCTGTTAAATACAGTGGAAAAAACATAATGAAAGAATCAAAATAGAACCAATAATGTCATCTCTAAGAACAGCTCCGTTGGAGTTTAGAAACCATGAGCATCCCAGGGAAGCTGTGAGGTTCAGCGTCATCCTTAGGTGAGGTGAGGGTGTCACAGACTCAGAATAGAGGTTGTTCTTCTTTAAGGAGGAATCAGCCCATGATGTGTGTCAGTCCGAGTAAAATGGTAATTGAATCCCTGCTGCTTCTGCCTGTAATTTTTTCAGTTTATAGACCAATAATAAAACAATTTTACAATTAAAACTCCCAGAATAGGTTGGGCACAGTGGCTCATGCCTGTAATCTCAGCACTTTGCGAGACTGAGGTGGGCGGATCACCTGAGGTCAGGAGTTCAACCAGCCTGGTCAACATGGTGAAACCCCATCTCTACAAAAATACAAAAATTAGCTGGGTGTGGTCTCAAATGCCTGTAGCCCAGATACTCGGGAGGCTGAGGCAGAAGAATGACTTGAACCTGGGAGGTGGAGTTTGCAGTGAGCCGAGATGATGCCATTGCACTCCAGGCTGGGTGACAAAGAGGAGAGACTCTGTCTAAAACAAACAAACAAATCTCCCAGAATGAAATGAACAGTTTACGAATTTGGCCCAGATGCCTCTGTACTGGATGCCTCATGTGACGAACTGCAATCTAACTTAGCACATCAGCCACTGAAGGCCTATCTTAGGTTGCAGTTTGTTACATAGGCACTCAGGTACAGAGGTGTTCTGGGGCCAACTTTATAAATTGCTCATTTTACTCTGGGAGTTTTAATTGCAAAATTATTTTATGGATAAGCCTAACTTAGGAGCTAAGCCTAACTGAGGAGTGTACTTTTGTAATAAATCGCTGAGGAGCAGCTGCTGCGCTTCAGTCAGTTGCAGCGGCCAACTCTTGAAATCTTATTCAAATCAGCAACACCAAGCCGCAACCAGTAAAGCCGTCTCTGCACCTCACTTCTGTTTTCTGCACCTCATTTCCATTTTCTGCCTATAACTGCTGTCTGACCAAATTGCTGCTTTAAATTCGCTGAAACCATTCTGATTCTGGAGGATGCCTTGTTTATGAGCCATCTTTTGCTTAGTTAGACTCTGCTAAATTTAGTCTGTTTAAAGTTTTTCTTCTAACACGTCAATTCTGTATGATTTTAAACTACTTCTTAATGCCTCAGTTTCTTAAACTATGAATTTGGTATACAACTACCAAAATCATAACATTGTTTTAGAGTTGAACAAAATAGTTTCCATAAAGTGCCCGGAAACCCACTCAGTGTGAGCAGAGGGGCACAGACCTGTGAGACCTGAGGGCATTGGAGCCCCTCCCACCCTCTGACTTGGTAATAGGGAGGGGTTGAAAGTGAGTCTCATGTGGACTTTTGGTAATGATATTTGAAGAAATCTTCATCTACGTAGTCTTTGTAGTACCTTGTAAGTCTGGTCCAGCCACTAAATTTTATTTCTCCAATGTTCTACATAGTGGAGTTATAGACACATGCCAACTGAAAGTCCTCAGAATAATTTTGAAAATTAAGATTAACATTTTAAGATCAAGAATTGGGAAGGCTGGCAAAATACAAATTGCGAAACAATGAGGAATGTGAAAAAGGGTTCTAATTCTCCCATTGTGCAAGGTGGGGAAAGATGCTCTCTGAGGGCCTTCCTGGACCCAAGCTATGTTACATTTTCATTCTCATCAGGCCTGCCCATGCCAGTTTTTCTCTATTCTAAATTAAGTGTCGTCTTTTTCTATTAAATGATAAAAATGGTTTTGCATAAGTTGTGATCATTTATAATAGAAACACAAGCATCAGATTGTAGGTTCTCTGCATGGAGTCACTGGCCAAAGGCGTTAACATCCCATTATGTTATTGGCTGAAAACTGCCAGCTATCTTTGTAGAGAGGAAAATCACTGTTAACTCAATTCTGATTTTCAGATTATTACCTTCTATTCCAGGTAATATTTGACTCCCAGTTATTTCTAGCATTTTGTTTGCTTTGTCCTGTAATTTAACCTAAAACAATATTATCTTCCTCCCCTATGTAACTATTAAAGTCTGAAGATAAGAATCAGAAAAAATGGACTAGGGATTAGTTTGGGGCTGTTTCTCCATCCACATGTCTTACAGTAAATTACGTAATAAAACAGACTGTTTCCTCATCTTCTTTATTCATATGAGGGTTTTATTCCCTGTCTGTGACCTGTGGCACATATCAGATCTTAAAGTGGCTTGCCCTGCCTGACACAGGTAATTAAGAGCTAAAATGGACTTCAATGGAGACTAAATTCCATTGTAACTCCATTACATTGCAAAATATAAGTATACAGATTCAATTAATTTGATGCATTATAGATATAGCCACAATTCCTTTTGTCCAAGTAAAACTGAAGTTTAAAGTATTAGAAAAACTATGCAGCCCTGTTTGTTAATAACTGATGTTCTACTAGAATATGAGCTGCTTGGGAGCCACTATGTCTAACTAACTTTTTTTCTTCACCTTTTAAGTTCAGGGGTACGCGTGCAGGAAGTGCAGGTCTGTTACACAGGTGAACGTGTGCCATGGTGGTTTACTGCACAGGCCATTCCATCACCCAGGTGTTCAGCCCAGCATCCGTTAGCTCTTCTTCCTGATCCTCTCCCTCCCTCCACCCCACAACAGGTGCCCAGTGTGTGTTGTTCCCTGCCATGTGTCCATGTGTTCTCATCAATCAGCTCCCACTTATAAGTGTGAACATGCAGTAGTTGCTAACCTCCTTTTTCTATGCAGTTTTGTACACAACCTTCCAGACAGTTTTGTGCTGAAATGTATTGTTTTGTTTTGTTTTTGATTACTGTGTGTATGTTCTGAAATGCTTTCTGAATATCCACTGAAAAATTAAATCCCTTCTGGAGTGTGAAATACACTGAATTATACATTGATTCCTTGAAACCTGATAATCTCATCATCAAACCACACAATCCTCTTTCAATCAGTGTATTCAATTAATGCACTACCTCATTTCTCAAATATGCTAATTATATCTAGTCTCTTAGAACTGGACACTTCATTACAGATGAAATTCTACCTGTTCACTTTAAAGATGAGAAAAATAGACATGGATGAGCTGATAAAGTCACACATAAGTAATTAGGGACTTGTACTCTTAGGTTAGATAGATGTAGATTGAAAGGCAAACATCACCGTTTCTTCCTGATTTTTGGCAAACCGTATATGTCTCTAAGATTTTTTCTTAGCTGTAAAATGAGGATAAAGCAATTAAACTTTATAACTATTGTAAGAAAAAAAATGAAACAATTCCTGTATCACATTTGGCTTAGTGCCTGGCATACAATTGATATGTCAAGAAAACTAATCATTATTTTTATAAATGAAAAACATTATTACTAGAGTATGAGCAGGGATTTCAGTCTTAGGATTTCCATAGAGAGCTGTGTGTCCCATCACCAGAGCTCACCTGCAGAGCTTCTGTGCTCAGAGTCCTCCTCTCCCACCTGACAGGAAGCAAAGGAAGCTCCATCTTTCCACCTTGGTTAATTGTAGCCCCGGAAGGTCAGCATGACTTAGGAGCAACACAACATGGGGTCATATTTTGTGTGTTGGGTCTCCAGTGGGTCTCAGAGAACTCAGAGGAGTGACTCTTCTCCTAAAACCTTCTTGAGAGCAGACTTGTGTCAACCTGCCCCAAACACTAGCTTGACTTCCTAATCTCAGAAGGGTAAGGTACACAAGTGTGTGTCTCTCCTCAGATTGTGAAGTTACCTTGCGCCTTCCAGAGACCCTTCCCTTTATGTTTATGGCCTGATGGGATTGAAGGTGCCACATTAGACTCTGGCAGGGATTGGGTTGTGTTTGTTACCCCGATTTTCCTCAAAAACTCTTTTGTGGGCTGAAAGGTGTGCTTAAGCTCACCTAAAACACACACATGCACGCATTCCTGGAGCAGGTGACTTGATGGAGAGCAGGGTATTAATGGAAGGAGGACATAAGGGATCCAGGTTCTATGCACCTAGGCAGGGAGCAGGCAGGTTGCCTTGGGCTGGGAGAAGAGGCCATAGAAAGGAAGGAGATCGTAAGGAGGTAAAGGGGAAACTGAAAGGGGCTCAGACATGAGCTGGTTTATGTTTTAAACCACTTATCTCAGGTACAGTAAAATAATACCCTCAGTTCAACTATAAAGACAAAAATTATTGCCTCAGTCACAGGATCCCAGGTTGCACCTAGAAAGTAACAGTTCCTTCCCAATAGTGATTAGGTTAGGGGCCTGCTGTGGTGAGAAGCAGGTGCAGGACCTCACAGCAGGGTTGAGTGGGGAGGTGGTGGGTGCAAATCCCAGTTATCATAATAATGCTGCCCTTGCTCACACTTGAAATGTTTTCAAAGGGCCTCCAGACCCTGGTCAGCTGTCTGCTGTCATCCCACACACTCCAAGGTAACTCCCTTTCCCCTCAACACACAGAGTAGAGACGATGCCGTGCTCCTTCTAGGTGTCCATCTGATGCTCACCAGAATCCCCATGAGCCCCCAAAATGTCAGGTTACACAGTGGAAACGTCTTGAACGAGGCTGCACTTTGCTGGTCCCCTCTGGTATTTAATGAACACAAGACCTGGTAAAGTCGTGCCTCAGTTTCTCCTCTGATCACATGGTCTCATGGTAGTGCCCCTCCCTCTGCTGGGGAGGGCAAAAGCTCCCTGCACAGGTGTGTGTCGGCATTCATACTTACCCAGCTCAGCCTGAAGTTTCTCTGGAAAAAGAACAAGAATAACATATTAAGGAATTTGGTGTAAGGGAACGGAGAGAAACTTTTTTTTTTTTTAAAAAGAAAGCAAGTTATATGTTATATAGGAACACTCAATTTATAGAAAAAACATGAAAAGCAGAAAAATATGGATTATTTCCCACAGATTATGCAATGATACAGCTTTTTTTCTTTTCTCTGCACAACAAAAATGCTCTCACTTCTATCTCTCCATGATTCTGTTGGTTTCCTCTGATATTTATGGCATAAATACTTAACTATCAGTTATGAAAATAATATATGTTCCTTTTATAGATATACAGAAAATACAAAATTATATGGACATAAACTATATCACTTATAATTACAAAATGGAGAGACTATATATAATATACAATCAGCTTCATTTAAAATTAAAATATAACATTTACTTTAAAGTATTTTATCTATCCGTTTATATGAATAACTGTATACTTACATCCAAATGTGGAGGGTATCGTGAAAGTTGTAGTGCAGTTATAAGTTATTTAAAGCCAACAACTTTAATGTGATTGGAAATGCCTATTTATAGATAGATGTCATGTTTATCATTGAATAGTACATCATGAGGATTTTTTCAACCATTAAAATTATTTAAAATATTTTTTTCATCAATTCTAGAAAGTATATAACACAGGACTCAACACTGTACTGTTGTATTGGGGGGTTGTTTTGCTGCTATTTATAAATAAGGTTGTAACTAGTATTCTATTATGCAAATAGTTCTCTACATCTCATTATCTTCATATGATACATACAGCATAGGAAGCCATTTCAGTTGAAGAAATATAGCTTTATTTTCTTTACAATGCAATGAATACTTGTGAGTAAAAACAATGCAGAAGAAGAAAAGTTAGAACTCAAAAATAATGGAAGTGCCATAACAGCTATTCAGTTAAAATGGAGTACATGTATTTCCAGTCATAAATGTTTTATAGCTTTCAATACATATTACTAAATGATAGCTATGTCTCTTGATAAAAATATGGGGTGCTGTGGTGCAGTGTCTGGGACCTCTCCTGCTGATCTGAGCATGTTGGTCCTAGAGAGAGAGCACTGACCTGGGATGCTGATAACTGCCTCCTTCTCCTCACTGAGGACGGGGTTATAGATGAAGCAGGACACGGACTCTGCAGAGGCGTTCTTGACCACAAGAGTGGTTTCCACATAGAACAGGCCATCTTCATCTTGGATGTGATGCTCAGACATGGCCAGCAGCTTCTCTCCTTGGATGTCTTCCCAATACACCTGGGGCTCTGGGAACCAGCCCCTTGTAGTGCACACAAGCTGGACTCCACTTTCCCCAGATCCCTCCATGTGAATGTTAGGGGCAGACCCCAGACCTGCAGAGGGAAGCCACAGCTCTGACACCCAGAGTCCACGGAGGCAGAAATCACAAAGACTGAGATCGCGGTGACACTGCTCACAGGGAGAGATGGTCGGAGTTCAGGAGTCTGAGGAGCAGAAAGTTGACCAAAGTCTCCCCATTCAAATTTGAGTACAGATACACTTTGTTCCCCAGTCTGGGTCTTTACATTTTAGTATCAGACAAGTATTTTTCTCCAGATCCAGAAAGGGGAATCAGAGAAGGGGGACATGATGGCATTTTGCAATGCCTCCAGCACTGTAAACAGAGATGTAGTGTAATTTATTCATTCATTCCTCTGCGCCATGAACTCTGCCTTTTTCATCTTAAAGTTATCTGTATTGGGCACGTTGTTTGACATTTTAGATGATGTCTGAAACTCCAATTTACACAGAATATTTAACATAAAGTCAGAAATCACTTCCCTGGGGCCTGTGCTTTCTTCATCTTTTGCTGGTGGCTGTGATCTTGGAAAGCAGGTGGATAAATGGGAGTATGTGAAATGTGAAGATCCATGAGTTTTTTTTGTAGCTAAATATTCTATTCAATGGGTAAGATGGTTTTGAGAAATCTTAATTTAGAACAATTTATGAAATCATGATTTTTTTCCCCTCTAGTATGAAACTCCCAAACCCAAGCTAAGAGGACTATATTTTCCATAAATGGGAATTCTGTCTTAATCACTTGCTGGTAAAGGAGAGACTTGCTCCCTTACCTTGGAGCCTTAGAAAACTTGTGACTTATTTGTAAATGTTCCTTATATTGAAATATAGCACTATGTTCCCTGCCCCCACGTCTCAGAAATACATGGAGTCTTCCATCTGTTTTGAATCACCTCGAACACAATAAAAGTAATGAATGTTAAGGAAAAAAAGTTATTAGGAAACAGCCTCCCAGGGAAGTAAAGAAGGAAGCAGTATCAGCTGGAGACGTTAACATCTCCAGAAAACTGTTTTTTCCCATTTACCTTAGTAATTGGATTTACTTGATTTTCTCTTTAGAACATAGAGGAGTTAATCCTGTCAGGGAATCATATCACGGTTTACATTTCATAAGACAGATGCATTCTTCAGTTGTCCCCTTTCTCCCCACGCCTTCCTGCTTAGCTAATAAAACAGCAATCCGAAGAACCTTCCCATTCACAGTGGGTGTGACCAAAATAATCTGTGAGGCCCCAATTCATTGAACATTAGTACATGGCAATCTCCAAAGCACAATGTTCTTGGCCTCTTCAGTCTCATTGCTAGCTTTCTAACTGAGGGCATGTCACCAAGAAAGAACCTTTTCACATCTCAGTTTCTTCATAGGCGGGGTTGGGTAGAGAACACCTGAGGCCCTGAGATACAGATGTGGGGCATTCAGCTGGGCTCACTCACGCAGCAATTGGCTTGCTCTTGCACAGCAGCCTCAGGCAGCACAAATGTGTGTCTCAGCAAAATTGCTAATGACTGCATGTCATGGATTTCAAATCATCCTCAAGAACAGTCAAAACTGTGCAAATTAAATTTGGGAAAATAATTTAACACTAAGCTTGCTTTGAAGACTCAAGAACCACTTATTTTAAAATCAATCAGGGCAGAGGACTAAGCATTAGGAATTACCTTGGTGATTCAAAGGGAATTCCTCAACTGACAGAAAGCTTACTACAAAATATACTTCTGCCTCCTGAGACCCTGTGTCTTCCCCCAGATATTCACCTGCTACTTTGAGCAGCAAATTTGTTTCTCCACAAGAGTTCCCATCCTGGAAATGACACCAGTATTGTCCATTGTCGGAGGGCTGGATGTTGTATATCTTCAGGGCCACGCTTCCCTCTGCAATGCCGTCCTCTATCCACTCTACCCGGCCTTTGTACTCCTCCATCTGCATCTCAGTAACCTCCACTCCATCCCTGTACATGAACACAGGTGTGCTGGGCTCTGAGCGGTACCACCTCACCTCCATGTGCATTGCGGTCCTCTTGGGGAGCAGCTGGCAGGTTAGCAGGACATCTTCCCCAACCCTGGCCAGGATAGGATGAGCAGGACCAATGACTCTAAAGTCATCTACAAAATGAGTGAAAAAGAGGACGAGGAAATGCCAATCAGAAAATCAATATGCATGCTTTTGGGTGTCCAGACAGCCATTTTGTGTACTGAAAATAAATGCAGTTTGAAATGTGAGTGAGATTGTTGTCTGTCACTTACCAGCTATGTGATTTGGGGGCAAATCTATTATTATTGGTAAGATTTTGAGATTTGAAGTCTTAATTTCTTCATCTTTAAGATACTAACACCACCATACCTGTTTTTTTAATTCTCAAGTAAATTATTTACTATTTGAGTCATTTGTCTTCATGTAAATTGACTTTTAAGTTGAAAACCTTATTCTTGCTGTTAACATTTTATTTTCCGAAAATTTAGGTAGTAAATCCATTATTAGCTTTTTTAGCCTGTCAGGATTCCTCTTCTCCTAGATATGAAAGTGGGCTTTTTTTTTTTTTTTTTTGCCTGGAGTAGGCAAGAGGCCAATTACTGGGACTATGTACAAGGCAGTTTTCACAAGGACATTTTGTGCTGGATTAAGGACAGTGGTTTGTCTAGAGATTTTGAGTCTTCCAAACAAATTCGAAGACATGTCTGATCTCTTCCATGCATCTCCAAATTGAAGAGATGTTTAACAGTTATGTATGTTATTATGTTTGATCATTTTATGTCATGTATGATACTTTCTTTCTCCTCCTAAATGCTCTGGGGACATTGACTCTTTCTCTGTGCAGATCCAGTCCTGCTAAGAAGAACCTCCCCCTACTTAGCTGCTTCTGGGTATCAAATAGCTGCTGCTCAAAAGGTGGCTAAAGAGCCTAAGTGGAGATCTGCTTGCGTTATTCATTGACGAATTATGAAGCTAGAACTGAGACATCCCATCCGATTGACTGTTACAGGGTTGGGGCTGCAGCAGAAGCACAGAGAAGGCGGCAGCCTCATTGCGCCGCACCAGCTCTGCAGTGCCACGGCAGAGCCCGTGCCCTCTCATGCCCTGGCCAGTGTTTTTTTTCCCACTTTGCCATGCTGCATTTTCCTTGGGGCTCTGACATCTCCCTCTGACACTGAATTAAAAAAATTTTTTTTTTAAATTATACTTTAAAGTTCTGGGTTACATGTGCAGAGCGTACAGTTTTGTTACATAGGTATACACATGCCTTGGTGGTTTGCTGCACCCATCAACCCGTCATCTACATTAGGTATTTCTCCTAACGCTATTCCTCCTCTAGCCCCCAACTCCCTGATAATCCGTGGTGTATGATGTTTCCCTCTCTGTGTCCATGCGTTGTCATTGTTCAACTCCCACTTATGAGTGAGAACATGTGGTGTCTGGTTTTCTGTTCTTGTGTTAGTTTGCTGAGAGTGATGGTTTCCAGCTTCATCCATGTCCCTGCAAAGGACAGAAACTCATCCTTTTTAATAGCTGCATAGTATTCCACAGTGTATATGTGCCACATTTTCTTTATCCAGTCTATCACTGATGGGCACACTGAATTTTTATAATTCTTTTTCGAGGTGCAACATTTAACAGACAAAATTCGGCTAGTGAGATTTCCGAGTCCATTTCTTCGAGGTCTCCTTCTAATTTCTTATTTTTATTTATTTATTTTTTTTGCAGCTTAATTTATAGTAAGAAGCAGCTGCATTTCTTGACCCCAAAGTACTGTCCTGTTAGAAGCAGGAGAGTGAATTAATAATTTAATGTGGTGCAACCACTGGTTCAAGTGCTTTTAATGTCTCATTTAGTCCTAAAGCCTGTGCTGGCCTCTGAGACATAGTTACTACTGCTATTCTCATTAAAAAGATGAAAGAACTAAGGCATGAAGTGCTCAAGTAACTTTCCAAAGGTGACTCAGCCAGGAGTGGAGGAGCTCCTCAAAAGTCAGGAGTTCCTCCTTCTACTCACCTACGGAGGTGCGTAGGCCCCAGACTTACACGCTTAGATGTTCTTCTAGACCTCTGGACCCAGGCTAGCTCCCTGGGACGTTAGACTATACAGTAAAGGGAGAAAGGAATCCTACCTGATTGTTTCATCGTCAGCAGGATGAAGAGGAAGGAGGCGATTACACCAGACAGATTGTACCCTGGGAAATCCACCATCCTCCCTGGAACAAACACAAGGAAACACTGTGCCTAAGTGAGACTGTGACAACCCAGCATACTCCATGACTTCCACTGGTTATGCAGTCTTAGCAGAGAATCCACATCAACCCCTTCACAGTCCACGAAATGGGCTTGATTCCATTTTTCTGCAATTACTGTTCACATCCAACCCTTTTTCTAATGGGTTATATTGTGAGACAAAGCAGCAAATGCAAGAAGCCATGTTTGCTCATGTCTTCTTGCTGGCATGCTTCCACACAGCCCCTGAGTCTGTGATACCTGCAGCTCTCGGGAAAGAAGCTTTAGAGGCAAACAGGATTGAACACACGGCCTCCCATCTCTCTTGCATGAGTCACTCTTCTTCTTAAAAGATAAGCAATCACAGTCCTTCCCTTTTCCTACACATAAGATAATGTCTGATTGAAGGATACGTCTGTAACCTATGACCAGATTTGCTCATACATCCAAACGTTGATGTAATTCAGGTTCAATGTAACTTCTGAGCTAGTCTGATGCACTGATTAACATGTAACCTACTGACATCAAAAAGGATATGGATTTGTTTCTGAATCATGAAGTTTTACTGATTATTTTGTGCATAAGATATTTTAGCCTATATATTGTCATCTGTATCCAGTGATTGTAACCTCTGTATTGTACCCTCCAATGAAAAAAAGAAAACTCCGATGGGAAGAGCCCCTATCCCTCCTCCTAAACTTCCTTACAAAAGCCTTCCAACTTGTCACAGACTTTGGAACACCCTCAACTTCATTGGTGTGTCTTCCTGCATCAATCCTGACATTTGGCTTCCAATAAATCTTTATCAAATTATTACTGCCTCAACAACCCTAATTGCAGGAGACAATATTTTAAGCAAGTTTTTATGCATAAGGAAGTCTTGTGACTGAAATGGAAAAACACTTCAGGTAAAGGGACAATAATATTTTAAAAAACCCAGACCAAATCAAACCAAACAGAACTCCTTAGATTCATCTGTTCTGAGCTTGCAAAACTTATAGATTCCAGTATTTTTTTTTCTTGTCCTCCTCCCAATTCCTCCTGCAAAACCTTTCTTTGCCACAGTTTTCTACATGTGGAGGGAAGGGCAGGAAGACCCTGCATCCCCACACGGCACCCAGAAAGCCAACATTCAGTGCTCACACTCAGAGAACCCAGGGGCACAGGGATGCTATGGATAGTGAAAGAAAGAGTATTAGAAAGGTGGTCGGGAAAATATCTGTAAGTGGCCCTTTAGAATAGACTTAAAAACACAGGAATGAATTAAAAAAAAGCCCAACTGCCAGAAATGGGCAAACCCCAAAACCCCACTGTACCTGCATAACGAAAACACTTCACAGCTAAAAAGTTTAAAACTTACCGGGACAAGGCTAGAAGGCTAGTTGTGCTATTGAAAAACACACAATTCAGAGTCAAAGAATTCTAGGATTTATTACATGTGATAGTCAAGTATCTTATTAAAAGAAAACATGCTTCACACCAAGTAGAAAAGCCAGCTCAGGAGCAATGTTGAGTCAATTACTGCTTCCTCCTTTCCCAGAAACTAATATTAGTAAGATTTTATGGGACGAGGGAAAAAAAATCAACATTCTGAAATGGAGATTAACAACCAAATGAGTCAGGAGATTATTGTTACTCAAATATTGCCCATTTGCTTTATAAAAAATATGTACTTTCATATAAGATTATTTCTAAGGAAACTTTCATGAGCCCAATTACAGTGCCCAGATCTAAAAGGGCAGTGTGGTATTTATGTGAAAATGGGGCTGGCTGTTACAAGACAGTCAGTGCAGATCATGAGCCTCTTGCCACCTGAAACTTACCAGTCACTTCCCTTAGACCGAAGGGTGTGCTGATGCCTCCTTGCCTCCTCTTGTGAAAAGCAGGAACTTTTTTTTTCCCACCAAGTAAGGGCAAAGACATCCCTACAACATCCATGCCAAGCATGATTTCTCAGCTGTGTGAACTAAAATGAACCCACACTTGCTACAGACCCCTTTAGAGGCTTGTATTCCTGCAGGTCTTTTATATCAAAGCAGTGGGAGGGAAAACTTACAAATGAACTCTCAAAAAAATTGCTCAAATCAATGAAGCCTTCGAAGAATGTTGGGAAAATACATCCTAACTTTCTCTAGTGCTCAGATAGACTGGTGAGAGAGTGTATCAGGGAGAATAACCACCGTGGACCAGGGTTCTTAATGGGGAAACAGGTGGCCCCTTAGAGGACATTTGGCAATGTCTGGGGACGTTTTCAGTGGTTACAACTAGGGGGAGGGGACATATATTGGGTAGCAACCAGAGATGCTGCTGAACATTCTATGATGCACGTGGCAGCCCCCACAACAAACGATCCTCTAGCCCAGAACATCGATGGTGCTGAGGAGAAGCCCTGCTACAGGGTTTGCTGTCAGGATGCCGAAAAGCTTTGGCACATTTTTTTGAAATTAGATAACTAGACGTAAATTGCAATCAAAAATGATAAGCTTTGAACCCTCTGTTTTACCATTTGGATGTAGTGCAAGAATCTTCTGAAAATGCTGTTCTTATTAAATATAGTAAATTTTGGTGTTGTCAAGATATATGATCTAATATGCAAACGTATCATCAAATTCTCATAAACTCATATTTAATTTAATTTTCTGGATAAAAAGTATGTGTTAAAGTGTAACAGTAAGTGGCAGCTTATGTTTAGGCATTAGATGATTAAAATTCTGGATTTCGAGGCCCATCCTGCACTACTAAAATTCATTTCAAAGAAAATTGCAAATTACTACGTATCACGGGTCATTAGAATTTTTTTCAGTAAAAGTCTCAAATATTACTCCTCAAAATACCAAGTAACCATAGTAACTAAGTGGTGAGAATAAGTTAAATTAGTTCACAGTTCATGAAGTTGGAAACTTATGTATCTATGCAGACATTAAAAACAGCTATAGTTTATCATATGTTAAAACAATACTTTTTTTTTGTTTTTTAAGACAGAGTCTTGCTTTGTTGCCCAGGCTGGAGTGCAATGGCATGATCTTGGCTCACTGCAACCTCCGCCTCCTGGGTTCAAGCGATTCTCCTGCCTCAGCCTCCCACCATACCTGGCTAATTTTTGCATTTTTTAAAGTAGAGACTGGGGTTTCACCATATTAGTCAGGCTGGTCTCGAACTCCTGACCTGAGGTGATCCACCCACCTCCCTCCCAAAGTGCTGGGATTACTGCATGAGCCACTGCACCCAGCCAAAACAATACCTTTTTGTAGAGAAAGCTAAAATAAGATTTCTAGGAGACAAGGAAAATTAAAAAATTTTTTTAAATTAATTTTTTTTGTGACCTTGGACATCTTACTTTACTTTCTTGAGCCTCCATTTTCTCAACTGTCTGGTGGAGACAATCATCCTAACGTTTCCCCAGCTGTATCATGACCATGTGACTGAAGAGGACATCGAGGCTCAGGGACAAGCCCCACACCACCCAAGACAAATGAATAATGTGATCCTGGTTTTCTTATTTTTAAGTCTAGTGCCTCTTCCTCACTTAGCCTGCTTCACAAGAACACTGTGAGGATCAAATGGGCTGCAATGGCAACTCTGACCTGCATAGTGGGATATAAATGTAACATATAAGTGGGAGGCAGTGGAGCAAGTGGCAGCATTTCCCTCAAGGACATTGATTCTGTCCACATGTCCTAGTTTCTAATCTGAGACAACGTCCCCAGCTTCCCGTGGCCATCCTTCACCAGGGACTCCAACACTCACGTGTCTCCCCCTCTCCTTTAGGGTGAACACCTGGTGCTACTGGGTCTTCTCACTTGGCCCCAGATGTATCCTTCATCCATATAGCAGGGGGTCCAAGACAGGTCAGAGTCCTGAGGTGTGCAGAGCAAAGGCAGGACTGTGGGAGAGCCAGAGAGTGTGGAGGTGGCTGCAGCCCCCACAGGACTCTGGGTGAAGGAGACAGTAAACCGTCTCACCCGAGCTGAAGGCAGAGCCAAGTCCCTGAGGCCGTCTGAAAAATTTGCATTATGAAAGTCAGAATAGCACATTCACCTCCTACCAGCTGTAATCCTCTCGAAAGTGAAACTCAGGGCACAAGTGGACTTTGGCTGGGTTCAGTTGTGAATTCTGCAGACCCGCAGACAAATCACGACACTGGCAGTTCTCACCTTCCCCAGAAAGCCAAGGCATTCATGGGAGCCTTATCTGCAGCCCCTCAACTCCCCCACACCTTCCCCCCAGTTAGGTATTCACGCAGACCCCACCGTCCCGCAGCACCTCGTGTGGGTGCTGTCTTCACACTTCCCTCCCCCTTGCCACACATCAAAGATTAGTGTCAAGTCTCCACCAGAGCATGGCACTCATAGGGCTGGAGTTGGAAGCAAAACTGAATGTCAAATGTGCCTTGCCTTATTCCACTGATGAAAAAGTAGAAGCCCAGAGAAAGGAACTGCCCTCTCCAGGATCGGAGCACTAGGGCAAGGTCCCTTGTGGGCTACTTTAGTGCTCTTTTTACTCAGGTACTTTATCTCCCTTTGCCGAGTGATAAAGGGTTTAATTACTCTCAGATATTTACCAAAGAAATTTAATAAGCTTCTCAGCATAATACTTGGGCACGAAGAGTATAGGGATTTTACAGGCATATTTTGTGTGTGTGCGTTTGTTTCTGCTAGATTTTCTTTTACACCCCCCTTAAGTCTGTGTTCCTTGAGCTAGAGGGTCTCAGAGACTCAGGATTTCAAAAGTTTTCCAGAATAATTTTTAATTTAATTGTAGATTTTTATGTCAATGTAAACTTTGTAGTATTATGGTGTTACAAGGTTTGAGTCAATTTTTTCCTGAAGTTTCTTTCCCTCCCCTGTTATGAGCAGCCCATAATTGGGCCCCCCAATTTAAGGTTACTCTTCTTAATATAAGAGCTTCCCCTCCATCCTTCAGTGGAGACAAAGACCCTCTCCTCACTGTAGAGGATGAGAGGTTTGGAGAGAAGAGAAA